ACTAATATATTCGATTGGGAAAGGAAACAAAGAGGATGCAGATGAGAAGAAGGATTTTATGAGGTTATTACAAAAGAATTTTCTTTTTATTGTCTTAATCATCTGAGATTGTTCCAATGTATGTAACCAATAGTATAGTATGATATAGAATAATGTTTTGTGATTCATAGGAAAAAGGAGAGGATTTTTTAAATAAATAATTTTTTTTTTTTATTTTTAGTGTTTATATTTAGTATTCATAATTATAATATCTTAAATATTCCTAGTAGTTATTGTTTTCATCTTATCATAAAAAACATGATGAAAAATATTTATGATATTAGAGAAAAATAAGACAACGGAAAAATATTTTATTTTTTTTATAAAAAGTCAAAAAAAATAATATAATATAAATAAAAAATAATTACAATAGATATCTAATAAATTTGCCACCATTAATATAATAAAAAAATAAGTTGCAATTTTAATTATGAGAAATACCACTATAATTATTACTGCAGCACCAAACGCAGCCTTACTCATTGGCTTTGTGCGGTAAGACACCCCCATCTTGTGGCTCAAACTTCCCCTACCATTCTTCCTTCTCTGGTCATCTTCCTCCCTCCCTCACGAGTTATTAGTACAAAGAAAGGAGAGCGCCAGGCAACTACTCGTACTAAAAGAGAGAGAGAGAGTCTTCTTTTTCTTTCGTCTCCTTAGAGAAAGAATGGCGAAGCTGGTGGAAAGCTCCCTCCTTGTGGCGGCCATCCTCCTCGTTGCAGGTGCGGCCGCCATCACCCCGGCCGCCGCAAGCGGAGAAGGGGGCGAGCTTCCCCTCGGCTGGATCCCGGCGCTTGCCGGCTGCCGTGGCACCATCGCGGAGTGCCTCGCCGGTGAAGAGTTCGACCTCGGATCCGAGGTGACCCGCCGCATCCTCGCTACATCCAGCTACATCAGCTACGGCGCCCTCAAGCGCGACACCGTGCCCTGCTCCCGCCGCGGCGCCTCCTACTACAACTGCCGCCCTGGCGCCCAGGCCAACCCCTACTCCCGCAGCTGCTCCGCCATCACCCAGTGCCGGGGTTAAAAGGAGGGATCTTGTAGATCTCTGCTCCAATCGGGGGAAACACGGAGTCTTAGTGGGGGGAAATGACGAACTTGGTATGCTATTTTCGTTGTTCTGTTCGAGTCTTGAATAATTGGTGTTGTTATTGATGGTGATGCGATTTTACCGTATTGGCGTTGTAAACAAGACTTGTATGCGATTCGTGTGTAAAGAATTATTTGGTCGTAGTTCAGTCCCCTCCTTTTAATGCACTTATCTCTCAAAGATTTCCTTTTCTGAGAAGAAGAAAGATGATTGTTGTTTCTTCCAAGTTTGATGATCAATTTTCTATTCATTCCTTGCTGCTTCTGGATTGTGAAGGGGATATGAGAATTTCTATAAGATAAAAATGGATCTTTTTAATGCCTTGTTTGATGTTTATGATCAATGGTTTATGCACTTCTTGCTACTTCTAAACATACAAAGAGGTCTGAGAATGTCTGATAAACATATTGTTCCTTTGCTATAACTGAGTCCTTCTTCCCTGCTCTCTCATTTGTTTTTTGGCTAAATTTTTTGCCAAAATTTTTGCTTCATCTGCATGAGAATTTCTTGGTGCTTCTAGATATTCAAGGAGCTACAAGAATTTCTTTGGTGCTTCTACATATTCAAGGAGCTATCTGATAAGTTTTTGCTTCATCTGCAGTAGAAAGAGAAGATTAAAGCAAGTGTTTTTGTGACAAAAGCTGATATGTTAGAATTTTTGTGTGTCGGCAATGAACTACTGATTATAACAAGTTTTAGATTATGGTATTACCATGAGTTTGGTGGTTGGGAGTAAATGCCTCTTTTATAAACAATTGAATTGGGTTATTGGAATGAGATGATGCTATTGGTCTTTGGTGATTGGTTGTCCCCTGTCTTCTTGTTGTATATTGGGTGGTAGAGAATAGAAAGTAGAAGAGCAGAAGAACAAGTATCATAGACTTCCAAAAGATGATATGGAACTCTTACCTTTTCTAAACTTTGATGGTTGGGTTATTTTATTATATTTTGCTGAGGTTGGAATTTTGAGACATTGACCAAAGCTTGTGATGAGGCAAAGGAGGATCCAAAATCCAATATGCTCCCATACTTCCAAGTTTGAGTAATTAGTGAAGTTGACCATGTCCAACAGAGGTGGTGGGCTTCTATGCATGTCAATCAATGACAATACAAAAGAGATAGACAGGAACACCAACTCCTGATTGATGGATGGATATCTTGTTTTAGTATTCATCTTGTATAGCTGCCAACCTAAACAACTTGTGAAATGCTTGCTCATTCATATAATTCATTGGATATTAAAGACTGTCATTGTATAGCTGCCAATTTACTTTTTATTTTGTTTGTGTTTTGACAGACTTTAAGATTGGTCATTTTTTATGTTATATTTTAATACTTTACAAAATAGCAGACATAGAGAAAGACTGTAATAAATATGCTTGAAATGTAAAAACAAAAAAAAAAAGAAAAATCAGAGAGTAGTGCTGTGATTGTAATTTGCTTTCTGGTGTTTTTCTTTTCTTATTTGGATTTTGATACAAGATGAATTTAGATAATGTTTTTAAAATGTGAAGATGGACTGAAGGAAGTGAACTTGAAGTTGGAAGCTTGTCTTAGATATGACCTCTTTTAGGTTGCCTGTCATGGCTTGAAGTGGTTGCAACATCATTTTCAGCTTTCTTGTCCAAACTTTGTTTGCCCAGCTAAAGTTCGTTCCCATCTCTTCCCAAGGTTACCTCAAGGCCAATTCTACTTTGAATCTGAACATGGAGGGTCATGAAGGGTCCTTTTCAGTGGCCAGTAGGTAAAGATGCCTTGTTAGCTATGAATTCCCAGGTCAGTGGTTCCTGTTCTTGTTTTCTTTTCTTAAATCTATTCTGTGGACTCAAAACCAGCTGGAGACTTTGTAGAGGTTCAATTCCAACCTAAACACTAGATTTGTGGAGAACAGTAACATGCCATGAGTTCCCTCAGATCAAGAACATCCATTCATATGATCACTGATGTTCCCATTGTGTTCAAAACATTCTTTAAGTTACCTCTAGTGAGAAAAACCCTGGATGATTAACCTTAAAATCTTTCTGGTTCTGTGTCTAGGTAAGTTCTGGGTGGAAGAACAGAATATGTATTTTGTTACCTATGAGCTATGAAATGTAAAAAGGGTCCACATAGGTTTCCAGAAGATTGTGGCAGACAAATGATTGGTGTGGCTGGCATTTCTTGAAAGGATCAAGTCAACCACCTAGAATTTACAGCAGTGTTGGCCTCCTGAAGGTAGGTCTACATAGCTGATTGACACAACCAGGAACACTTGATTCATGGACACCTATCCAATTAGGTCTCATAAACTGCCAGTAGTGAGCAAACTGTCCTTTCTGACCCACACTGATTTATTGTAAAGGTTTCATGTCTCATGACTCTCATCTGGCATTTTCTAAATCATTTAGGGTGAAAACTCTGGTCTTGAGAAAAAGTTTCAGTGCTTATCATAAGGGATTGGTTTTATTCTCCTGCCAAAGAGGAAATTAAATTCTCATATATGGTTTCTGAAATCTCTGAAGCATTACTTTCAGAAGATCTGAACAGCTGTAAGGTTACTCTTTTTAAGTCTCGAAAATTTAGAGGTAAGATCGAAGCTGCAATTTTTGAGTCTTTTGGATGACAAGAGAAATCAAAATGTCATATGGGTTATAAAATTTGTTTGTGTTTCTGAAATCTCTAAACAGAGAATTGTTTTACTAGGTGTTACCAAGCAGCTTTCTTGAAACAGAGAACAGAGACACCCAATGGTCCCCTGTGCTTTGGATCCAGCTCATGTGGTTCTCCCAAGGTTATAAATCTGATACAGTAGATCTGTTTTGGATTGCTAAATCCTGTGGGTGACATTAAATGTTGTTAGATCTGGACATTGGCTGTGATGCATGTTAGATCTGGACATTGACTATGATCCATAATTCCACTTCAGTAAGTCCATCAGTTCATCTATCATGCAAGGAGTTTTCTAAGGGTGGATTAGTCCTATAGTTGGGTTCGTGGATAATCCGACCTAAGATTTCGGGTGTAGATCCTCGTTTTGGATCCAGAACACCAATCCCCGAATCCGATCTAAATTTTCGGATCCGGATTGTTGTTTGACCAAAGCATCCGCATCGCCGTTTGACCAAATCCCTTCTCTCCACTCTCCACGTGGAACGCTTGTTTCCCTCCACGACTCTCACACGTGTCTCTCCATGAGGAGAACCAACTCGTTTATATCGAACACTCGTGCCTCACTCGTTCCTTTGAAGCGTCTCTCATGGCCTCTCAAACCCTCAAACACCGGCCCAAGGAGGAGCCGACGACGACAGCGACGACCACCGCCACGCCTTCCACCACCAGTCACAAGTACCGGAAGGACCAGAGGCTGGCCATGGCCAAGCGCGGCCTCCGCTCGCTGGCCGTGGCGGTGGCCATCCCCGCGGTCGGCACCGCCGCCTCCATCTCGATCGCCGGCGCCACCCTGGCGTCCACGAAGCCATCGTGGAGCCCGCCGGTGTGGGCCTTCCACCTGGGCTCCCTCCTGATGTCCGCGCTGTTGGGCTTCTCGTCGTGGCTAGTGTGGGCGGAGGGCGGCTTCCACGGCCGCAGCGAGGCCCTTCCGCTGTACCTCTCGGAGCTCTTCATGTCCCTCATGTGGGCGCCGCTCGTCTTCGGCGCCGGATTCCCCAGGCCGGGCATGGCGGTCTGCGTCGCCCACTTCGCCGTCCTCTTCATGCTCTCTCAGAGCTACCGTCAGGTGAACCCCATGGCCGCCGATCTCATCAAGCCTTACCTAGCATGGGTCTCCTTCCTCGCGGTCTTCAACTACAAGCTCCTGTGAAGCTTCGAAGCTGTCTGTGTATGTAACCACGACCTGTAGCATGAGCATGAGTTGTAGCTTTTGGTTCTTGTCTGTGTTCTCCCCGAACTCGATCGAATCTACACAATAACATTATAGAAGATGGATCACAAGCTGCGACAGGTTGGATCTCACTCTGTTGCATGCCCATGCATACATAACAATGGCTCTTCTTAAGTTGCCTTCATCATATGTATATAACATGCATAAGGTTAATGTTGGATATGTCATATATAAAATGTATCAGTCGAAATAGTCGCGTTGGCGAAGCTTTATTATTATTGCTCTGGAAATAATAAATTTATCGAGGCATCAAAAGGTTATCATAATACATTCTTAAATTAGAATATTAAATATAAAAAATAATTAATTTCCTCCGACAATATCGTAATTACATGAGTGACGCGGACCGGTGACCCCAAAGCTTATCACCTCTTGTTCTTCCTTGCGACGGCCGAGTGTCGGCGGAGAACGATAACTCCATGACCATGGCGGCTCACATCATGCCATGAAATCCCTTTCCTTCCCCTCCGCTCCTCCCGCCCTCTCTCACCCTCCTCTCATCTCGGTTCGTCTTCCGCTCCCGAGGAGACTCGTCAAAGCCTCCTCTCTCCCGTCTCCCAGACCCCGTACCAAGCGCCCCAACCGCCTCCGCCGCGAAACCCTAATACCCAAACCCCGCATTCCTCCACCTCCCGCTCCCCTGCCGCCACCGCCGGATGAGCCCCGCATCGTCGTTTACGAGGAGGATGTCGCTGTCGTCGAACGAGTGGTCGAGGAGGTGGACGTCGAAGAAGTGGTCGAGGGCGGGGCGGCGGTGGGGGTCGACCCGTTCGCCCCTGCCGCCGCAGCCGCTGAATTCCGGTTTCTCCCCGGCGAGGTGCAACGCCTCGCGCTGCGATTCGCTGTGCTTCTCGCGGTGCAGACTGTTGTTGCGGTCTGGTTTCTTGGCGGCGAGCGGAACGAGCCTAGCGAGCAGGGAATGACGGAGGGGAAGGCTGGAATTGAGGTGCGGGAGGCGATGGAGCTTGATAAGAAGGTCTTGGAGATCAGGGCGATGGCGAAGAAGGCGAGGGAGATCGAAAGGAGGGAACTTGCTGAAGATAGTGGCATAAAGGGGGAGGTGGGCAAGAAGCTTGGTAGGTTGAAGAAGAGTGCTGCTACGAAGGTTATCTTGGATGAGAATACTTTTTCTGTGTCTTTGCCGGTGTCCTCCGAGAATATGAATGAAGAGATGAATGGAGAGAAGCTGAATTTGAAGCAAAAGATGGGTAGAGAAAAGCTGAATTTGAAGAGAAAGATCGGACTCTCGAAATCCACCAACAAGGCTGGAAACATTCCAAAGGGATTTAATGGCTCTAGGAGCAATGACGAGCGCGGCAGAGGTGTTAGTGGTACGATATTTCCTTCTCTTAGTTCAATTAGAGATAACTTTTTCGATCAGGCCTGTTCTACTTTGATTTATTGCCTAGATTAATCGCACTATGATGTTGTTTGGCTTACTTAGTTCCTCCTTTATCTTTTATTGGTCTGATTTATTGTCTCTTATTTTTTCTGGTCGGTTTCATTTATGGTCCATGCTCTGTTTTTTTCCTAGTAAATTGTGCAGTTACCGGTAACATATTCTACAATTTCGCTAACCTGCTGCATACTTGTAGTGATGAATATCTGGTTTGAGAATTATTGTTTCTGATGCACATTCATTAAACATTTAACTTTTATCTCAAGTGCATTACATCAATTTAGCTGATGTGTACTTAGTGTTCATTCTCTTGGACATATAAATGATCAACTCCTCATGACTTCGTATCTTGATGCCTCCCATTTAATACAAGGTCTTAAGAAAGCCAATCAATGGCTAAGGTCTGAAAAGCAATCTCTTCTTTTGAATGCCCTTGTGATCATTCAAGTGCCAAATATTGTTAAGGGGTGAAGTTTCCGTATCATGATAATTAACGTATATCTCATCTTGTGCGTTGTCATGCTAAAATAAGTTATGAACACGTGAGGAAAATGATTCCTAGCGTTATCATCCAGGAACATGGATTTAACTGCTTGATGAATTTTGATATGCCTACCTGTATTACTTTATATTCATTAGTAATTTTGATGAATTCTGATATTCAATTTCAACTAAAGATGTACTCACTTTGCTATTTATTTTCTTGACTTGCAACACTAAAGCAATTGTATTGTTGTTTACTGTATACAATAATGCTTATAGCAATGGATCATCTATGTGATAACGACATGAATAGTTTTGTTAGTAATCCATGTTAGCAATTTTCATGTTTGACTCTGGCTTATTTCTGCTTGTTTTTGTAACTAATTCTTGTCGTAATGTTAATTCGAGGGAGCTTTTAGTAACAGTAAAGCCATAGTCGTCATTTATGTATATATCATGGTTATTCATGTATTCATCTTAGGTGGTATTGAGCAGATTGCTGAAGAAGCTGCACATCGTCCTGATCCTGAAGATTTAAGAGCTCATGCTTCTGAGCTGACCCAAAGATCACCTGATATCGAGAATTATGCAACTTCGTCAAGTCGAGGGACAGTTAGAAGAGTAAGTAGTGGTGATCATTTGCGTGTAAGTAAGTTTCAGAAGAGTAAGAACTATGTGGAGGACACTGAAGATATGTCATTCTCTGGAGGAACCAATTCCAGCTCTGACATTGATGAAGTCTTCCCAAAGACTCAGATTTGGGAAAGTTCTACAGAAGTTACTAGGACATGCTCCTCAGAAACTGGGAAAGTTAATGATGATTCAAGATATAATTTTCCCATTGAAAGCGTAGAGAGCAAGTCATTTGTCAACAAAGTAAAAAACAGTCACTTGGATGTTATGAATGAACCATGGTGGCTGAAACTTCCATATGTTTTTGTAAGCATTTTCTACATATACTTCATTTGTCTGTAAATGAACATTTTCTTTCCTCTTCAGTTTGATTGAATTATCAAATTTTTTGTTCCAATGTGACCAATTTGGCTATAACTTTAATCTAAATTTTTGCATCTGATATCTTCACATAGCTAGAATACTTAAGAGTGATTAATCTTTGGCTACAATATATTTCAGGCTATTTTTTTACGTAGAGGCTCTGATGGTAATGGTCCTAAAGGACTTTATTCCTTGGACATAAGCTCCTCGTCAGTCGAAGAGAAAGCTCCTTCCTATACTATTGCTTTCCAAGATCGTGGGGATGCAACAAATTTTTGCTACATAGTGAAGACCTTTTTTGAAGATTTGGGTGATGTTAGTGCTGACATCGTTCCTCTCACAATTAAAGTAAGGAGCCATTCTGAATTTGCATATTAAGAATCCACTTTAAAGAAATACTTCAATATATCTGCTATCTTCTTATGGCATTTATATGATCATTTTTCATAACAGTAATAAGAATGGTAAGACTAAGCAAGTTTTCTAATTGCTAATGAATGCCCTCTTTTTACATTTCCATGATGCTAAGTTGGGATGATCGGCATGTGACAGGAACTTGATCAGGTCGTGAAGTCATTTGATCTAAAGGTTATTGTCGTGAGAAAGGGACAAATTCATCTATATGCGGGACAGCCTCTTGTTGAAGTTGAGGCTGTGATACGTTCTTTCTTAGACTAGAACATATATTTATGACCATTGACACTCAGAAACTAGGTAAGCGGCCTTTTACTTTCTCTTATTTCGAATAAATCTGTTTAAGATTATTTTTATTTGGTGACACCTGTGCACAAAGATTTTCCCCCGCCCTCCCTCAATATAGGAGATAGTGAATTGTAAAAGGGTAGCAAGATCCCCCCCCACCGGTCTGCTCTTCCTCTTCTATTTTGGTTCAAGTTACATGTGTCTTCTGAACTCTATAAGGTGTAACTTCGATGAAGTCTCATATTCCGCTGTTGCAGTGGAATGACAAGGCTCCATTCAACTTTTTTCAAGGCCCCTTGATATAGTTACTACAGAAAAAAATTGTCACTGGAAATTTAGAGTTTCTGAATATTCGTTCCGATCTGATGTTGCTATACAACTCCCCTTCTTAGATATCTTTGATTGGTACATCATACTCAATAAGCATATGAAGAAAGCTATAAAAGCACACAATTGACAATGTATTTCATGTTATGTGGCTTATTAATGTCAACCGTACTGTTTGATCAAAACCATTATGTTGGTGAAAACGTTTACAATTCTTTTTGTCTTTGCTTTTACTTCTATTATAAACCAATTGATGTCTTCTATATCTGCTTTGTTGGAGAGGACCAATGAAACCTTGTATTCTTGGTTTGTTGGTAGAACTTTTTGGATATATGTAGGGGCAAAAACATACTAAACACTGTGAAAACCATAGACAGATCCACTTTAATCAGCAGATACAATGATACAATAATTGACAGATTCAATGTTAAAACCATATTTACACAGAATGGACAGGGATAAGGGTCTAATATTTTTGGATGAACAACAATGCAAATCAAATTAAAAATTTATTCTGATTACTTTTAAATGGCACCTTTGCTTCAACCTCCTTTTTCCATATTCATTTGCATTAACTGAGCAATAGTTTTTGTTCGGAGGCAATTTTGGTTGGATTGTTTATAGCTTTAGCTGGCTTAGAAATCGAGTCCCGGACATTTCTCTCTGTGCTTGTAAAGTATTATATGGTTTGCACATTTGGGGTGTATGATAATTAATAGGAATGTTGCTAACAGCATTTATATCAAGAAGTTTGCTACTTTGTAGATGACAATAAACATCTCAATTCTGTTCTGTTTTCCAGGTTCTCGCCCCTATTTGGTGCAGCGGAGATCATGTCAAGTTGCTTATGTTTACACTTCACATCAAATTCTTTGGTCTCAAAGAACAAATTCATCAGTTTCTGGTTTCCAGAAAAAATTCCCTCCTCAGCGAAATTTGATTAATTACCGACTGATTATGCCCCCAGAACAGAGATCGGAGGCCATTGCATGAACTCTTATGATATCTAGTTCCGATGCAGCAGCAGTCTCCTCCTGTCTCAAACTGCTGTTTTTCCAGAGGTGCTGCTTTTTATCTGCCTCTTACTTTAAGGATTTACTATGAATCAAGCAAGTCGCAGGTGATCGTTATAGTTATGTTGGAGCATTAGCGATCAAATTGTATTCGAATTAAGGTTTTCGGAATTTTGCAGGTAAAAATTAGACAAAGAATCTTGAGGCACATATTGCTGTTTTGAGGTATCTTCTTTAATTTTCGTGCATGTGTCGATCGAATATATCTTCTTCTTTGTCTACATGCATGATGATCGTGGATATTTCTTTAAGTATATGTTCTTTAATTTTCGTGCATGTTTTGATCGAGAATATCGTCCTACGGATGATGTAATCGAGATTCTTCGTCTACGTGCATAACCGTGTAGGAATGACGAGGGAGTTTAGAAAGAGAATGACACGTAATTTCTAGTAGAAGCCGACGTGGAAATGTTTGGTCTCCATGTTCATGTTCGTATAAACATGATAATAATAAGCAATGAACAAATTTATTGGATTAGACCGGTCCAGCTTATAAGCCCGGTCCATCATTTATAGGTCCGACCTCAGTTCGGGTTAAGTGTGTTTTTCGTTCTTTCTTTCGGTTCAAAAAGTTACATTAGTATTATAATAAATAGATCTATATCTCTTATTTTAGTATTTTTGATATTTATATTTTAAAAAATTATATTAGTATTCATATATTATATTATATTATTATTATTCATATAATTAATATTAATATTTATTTATTTATTTATATTTTTATTGATATAATTGATAGTATTATGATAAATAGAACTATATTTCTCATTTCGAAATTATAAAGATATTAATATAATTTTTTAAAAGAGCTAATATGCAACTTCTATATTTAAGCCGGCTCTCGGAATCCATTTCTTGTTGTTGCTTTCTGCCCTCATGGCGGCGGCGAGGGTTCGGGGGGTTACTCGATGCCGCCACGGGGTTCATGGCAACGACGGCCTCTTCGAAACCTTACCCAGCAGCCAGGAACAGGCGACATCGGTAGCTTGGACGACACAGGCTGCTGCTCCTTCACCGCGCAGGTGGCCCTTCTCGGTGGTCGGGAATCGAGTAATTTGCAGGAAAGGTGGAAGCTTTATTTCATATTTATGCCACCGATTTTGCCGAAGATTCACATCAGATAGGCCTTCGCCGCCGGCTGGAGAAGGGAGTCGATTTGTTGATGTGGGAGGAAATCACAGTGTTAATGCGGGTAAGGAACAAACAAGAGCTACTGTTGATGAAGTTTGCCGCGTTCTAGATGGAAGCCCTTGGGGACCCGAGGCGGAAAGACTTCTTTCTGAGATCCACGCGAAACCCAATCGAGAAGTCATCTTCGGTGTCTTAAAAAGACAGACGGATTTGAACTTGGCGTTAAAGTATTTCCGGTGGGTGGAAAAGATTACTGCTGAGCCACACAGTGTAGAAGCATATAATTCTGTTCTAATGATTTTGGCTGATACCGGAAAATATGATTGTCTGGAGAAGCTTTTAGAGGAAATGAGCATTCTTGGTTATGGGTTATCAAATAATGTTTGCATTGAGCTGGTCAAGAGCTTCATCAAATCCAGGAGACTGAGAGTAGCTGTTGATTCAATGCAAATGTTGAGGAAGTTTAAATTCCGCCCTGCTTTTTCGGCATATACAACATTGATTGGTGCGCTTGCGAATGCTCGTGAACCTGATTTGGCCCTTACCATGTTTCACCAGATGCAGGAGGTTGGATATGAGCTCAACATCCAATTGTTCACAACAATGGTTCGTGTATTTGCAAGAGATGGAAGGCTTGATGCAGCTCTCTCAGTACTGGAGGAAATGAAAAGCAACTCATTCGAAGCAGATCTGGTGCTTTATAATGTCTGCATTGATTGTTTTGGTAAAGTGGGCAAAGTTGATATGGCTTGGAAGTTCTTTCATGAGCTCAAAGCACAAGGTTTGAGGCCAGATGATGTGTCATATACTAGCATGATCGGGGTTCTATGGAAAGCAAATAGGTTAAGTGAAGCTGTCGGACTCTTCGAGGAAATGGAGCAAGACAGGAAAGTTCCATGTGCCTTTGCTTATAATACCATGATAATGGGCTATGGCTCTGCTGGATTGTTTAGTGATGCTTACAAGTTCCTAGACAGGCTAAGAGAGAAGGGATGTATTCCAAGTGTTGTCGCATACAATTCAATTCTTACTTGCCTGGGGAGAAAAGGAAAAGTTGATGAAGCTCTAAAGCTTTTTGAGGAGATGAAGAAAGATGCGGAGCCCAACCTCTCGACCTATAATATTATCATTGACATGCTTTGCACATCCGGTCAAGTTGAAGCAGCTTACCAAATCCAGCATACCATGGAGAATGCTGGCTTGTTTCCTAATGTTCTGACAGTGAATATAATGGTTGATAGATTGTGCAAGTCAAAGAAGCTTGATGAAGCCTGGAAGATATTTGAAGGAATTAGCCAGAAGGGCTGCACTCCTGATGCTGTGACATATTGTTCGCTTATTGATGGATTAGGCAGGACAGGCAAGGTTGATGAAGCTTATAGGTTGTTTGAAAGGATGTTGGATGCAGGGCACAATCCTAATGCTGTTGTGTATACATCTCTCATCAGAAACTTCTTTAGGCATGACAGAAAAGAGGATGGGCATAAGATATTCAAAGACATGAATCGGCGAGGGTGTCTCCCTGACTTGATTCTTTTGAATACTTACATGGATTGTGCTTTCAAGGCAGGTGAAGTTGAAAAGGGGCGTTCTATATTTGAGGGCATCAGGGCTCATGGATTCCCCCCTGATGCTCGTAGCTATTCTATATTGATTCATGGTCTTACGAAAGCTGGCCATGCACAAGAGACCTACAAGTTGTTTTATGACATGAAAGAGCAAGGTTGTGTACTAGACACACTTGCCTACAATACTGTCATTGATGGTTTCTGCAAGGCAGGAAAGGTGGATAAAGCTTACCAGCTTCTTGAAGAGATGAAGGTCCAGGGTCATCCTCCAACTGTGGTTACCTATGGATCCGTGATTGATGGTCTTGCGAAAATTGACAGGCTTGATGAGGCTTATATGCTATTTGAAGAAGCAAAATCACATGGAACAGTATTAAATGTTGTTGTCTATAGTAACCTAATTGATGGGTTTGGAAAGGTGGGGAGGATAGATGAAGCTTATCTTATTATGGAAGAGATGATGCAGAAGGGTATAACTCCTAATGTATACACTTGGAACTGCCTCATTGATGCTTTAGTGAAGGCAGAGGAGATAAGTGAAGCGCTTGTATGTTTGCAGTCAATGAAAGAAATGAAGTGCGCTCCTAACACCTATACTTACAGCATCCTTATAAATGGTCTTTGTCGAGTGCAAAAGTATAATAAAGCTTTTGTCTTCTGGCAAGAAATGCAGAAACAGGGTCTGGTTCCTGGTGTTGTCACATACACAACCATGATTTCGGGACTCGCAAAAGTAGGGAATGTAACGGAGGCTAATAGATTGTTTGAAAAGTTTAAAGCAAGCGGTGGTATTCCTGACTCAGTTAGCTTCAATGCCCTTATAGTAGGCATGAGCAATGCAAATAGAGCAATGGACGCATACAGGATTTTTGAGGAAACTCGGCTAAGGGGATGCAAACTTAGTGCTAAGACTTGTATTGTTCTGCTAGATTCACTGCACAAGGCTGAGTGTCTTGAGCAGGCTGCGATTGTTGGTGCTGTCTTGAGGGAGATGGCGAAGTCCCAACATGCTGCTAGATCTTTGTAGAGCTTGGGAAATGGATGAGGATCAAAGGAAGTTTGTTGTGTCTTGAGGTAATTCGATTCTGTTATTCAATGATGCAAGCAAGTTTGGAGGGTTCATTAATATTTACAAACTTCAGCCTATATTATGGGCAGAAAATTACTGTTAAAAATCATCTATCACCCTGTAAAGGTATCTGTTCCAGAGAAAGGATAACTTTTCTGCTCCAACTTGCCAAATGGAGGCTGTCTTAGATATCTGAAGTTACTGTTTATATAGGTGCACTAATTTCGGAGATTGCCTTACCAGTTGTTGCTGCTAGCTGATGTCTTGTCACGTTATAGAGGCTTAGTTGACTGGAAACCTGGAGTCCAGTGGAAGCCATTTGGAACAGAAAACGACTCATATGATGGTGCGTCTCATTCTTATTTACAATCTGAATTAGTGAAGCACAAACTTTTTTAAACAAGCTATTTTGTCATCAGATAAAAGTCCCTTGCCATGTCACTATACATTGTAGTTTGTTCTTGTCCAACCACAAGCTCTACAAGGTACAACCATGAAGAGTAGATTGCTTGTATTCATTATCAAGCGGATCATCTCATGACCTTTCTCAATATATATGATGCATAATGTGCATGTTTTGCATCTTGTTGGCTAGTTTTTATTAATTTTATCCTAAAAATACATGCTTTAACAGAACCTCCATAATTCATAGGAGATTGCAAGATGATACTATAAAAGCAGATGCGAAAATAGAATAAATCTGACTAGTGGTATAGTTCCATATATTTTTAGTGACATGGAGCATATTAAGGATGAAAGAGAACAGCAGTTTCAGCTTTGTTGAACCACTCAAAACTGTTGGGCTAACAAATTTTATGCTCGATAATAACAATGCTTACCCATATTTAAGATGCTCCATGTATTTTATAGTTTTATATCATAAAAGAGTGTTAGTGTCCTTTCAGGGTGTGTTTCTTGACAATGCTTATCCATATTTAAGATGCCCCATGTTTCTTGACAAGTAGATTTGTGAGCCCCTGTTAAAAGAAGAAAAACGGGATTTTATTCTCCCCATTCAAATTTTGAACTTTAGTCTACATTATGATAAGCATCCACTTGTAATAAAATTAATAGAACAAAAATATAAGAGGTATACCCACACGCAAAACTAAACGCGATCAAACTGGCCAAAGCATCCCTCTTGCATATAATACATCTGCCTAGGATAACAAGCATCTAAAGTGTGTGACTTAATCGACCAAACTGTCCTTTTGCTTGTAATGCATTTACACAAGACGAAAAACATCTAAAGCGTCCAACACTACCAACAAGACTCGAAGCTTCCTTTGTGTGCCCACCCAAGACCCAAAAAAAACATATTCAAAGCGTTCAAAATTACTAAGGCATCTTTTACTTATGATATGTATATCCATTACCCGATGTGGCCAAATAGACGAAAGCGTACCTCTTGTACACAATACTTTTGCCGAGGACAGAAGGTATTGGAAGCACTCGGCATAATCAAACCATTCCTTTTGCATGTGATACATCCACCTAGACCCGCCCAAGATAAGAAAGCACCAATAGCATATTACTTGACCAAGTTGTCCCTTTGTGCATAATGCGTCCATCCAGGACAAAGAACCATCTAATGCACTCCACATAATCAAAATGTCCCTTTTGCGTGTGACCCTTCGACCAAGGACAAAAAATACTGAAGCATCTAATTTGATTAGGGCATCCTTGGCGTGCAATGCATCAGCCTAGGAAAAAAAAAAATCCAATGTATGCAACTAAAGCGTCCACTTATGCTTGACACATCCACTCAAGACAAGAAAACAATCAAAGTATTAATTAAGCATTTTTCTAATGCAGGTAACAATGGTAGATGTCTCGAAATAGACATTATGATCTAGGATGGACATATCCTTACACTGAAGTACAATAGAGACACAAATGGTATGACTATTTTTTTTTGCCAAATGAGATTTGATAGGCGGAGTCTGATCAGTGCCTAGTGAACATGCCACGTCAACCTTCGAAGATAATAAATACTTCAATGGACATGCTATATCGACATAATGATCATTCTCTATTAAACCAACAGTTAGAAAGTTAACATTAGATAAAGTAGTTTTTCTAGATATGTCTTCATTTTAGACTCACTGAAACTAATAACTTTTTATGCCCACAACGAATGAACAAATAATGGCTTTATGTCAAAGGGGTTTTGCCTGATGCACTCTTAATCTTTCGCAAGAAGCAAAATCTGAGATATGAGGTACAAGTATTTATTTTTTCTTTCTTTAATGGCTCACGTGTGGATCCTTTCATGAAGAATTTGTTTGCCTCTCTCAACTGCGACAACTTAGAAACACTTCATATCAATTTTGCCATATTAGATTGACGATCAAAATTGATCATATTAAAACTTGTATCTGATATCATCAATTGCCCAACTTACAATCCCTTCATCTGGTTTCTGCTGTTCCTAAAATCCAATTATTTCTTTCAATCCAGGTATAGTATAGCACAGCTGCTAACAAATCTATTCATTTATCCCTTCAGTATCTAACAAGCCATCTGATCTTAGCTTCAAGGCAGTGATTAATCTGTTGATGTTGCAGAACTGCTTCGAAGTGCCTTCTGTCAGGGTATGTTTTAAGTTCATGCATCAGTTATCTATTTAAATGCCATGTTTTACAGAGCATGGTGAAGCGGATCAAAATGGTGAAAGGGTTAAATTTAGCAAAATTGCTGGCTTCGTAGGTTAGCAAAAGTTAATAAATCCTTGATTTTTTTTAAAAAAAATATGTTAAAGATTTGAACAGATACATGTAGTTCAGTTAATGTATGAATGTGATATATGCTTTCATTTGGAGTATCCTATAAGTTCAAAGAAATACCAAGTAACCTGCAATGAGGAGAGAGAAATAACATATCTATATTGCTTATTTTTTTGGATGAGTTAAAAAGAATTTTGATTGTCATATACATATTGTTGCGACGTATGCAACATGCCTATACTACATACAAGCATTGGTTTAGGCCAAAATTTGATAGGATATGCCGGATAGACAAGCAAAGTAAAATTTTCTTTGTTTGTTTTCTCTCTATCTCTCTCTCTTTCTGATAAACATGCATAATGAGAGGTGGACTGTAGAAAACTTTATAAACAATTAGATTGTAATGTGTGAGATTTTTCTCTTTCTTTCAGTCTAATTTGTGGGCAGTGTATGTAGAAAAGTTCATCAAGAAGTTTGTCAGGATGTGTTTATATAGATTCATTTTGGGTAAATGCATGGTCAAGGAGAACATATGGATGCAACTGAGGAACAGTATGTATTCCAGACAATCATTACATGCTTCGACTAATTGAATTAGGTACTTTTAGAGCTGAAGCTTGCGGTGACATTAATTAGAGATGGCAATATATATGCTGTTTCTTAATTGAAACTGTGGATAACTTGTGCTGTTTCAATTCACCACTATCCTGACATTTGTGTTCTTTTCTTTAATACAGAAAAAAGATGTACCGTGTGCATATACACTTGCAATTACGAGAGTTTAAGGAAGGTCGGTGTACGCAATCTTACTTTCAACAGATACTGTTTTTGTGAAATCGTGATCGTTTTTAGAATCTCTTCTTTATTGTTTGGAATATATAATCAAGTTCGACTGGATTGGGAATACTTGTCTGAGAAGTTCTTGTTCACCTATTTGTTTTCTTGCAGGCCTAATACTTGAAATTGAGACTGGATAATTTCTGCTTTTGTGTTCTTTAGTTTAATATAGAACTTTTGTGGTCGTGTAATACATATCACATCGATTAATAAATATGAAATATGGATGTATAATAAAAGTATTAGTTCAAGTTAAAATCAATTTTTATCTTATTTAATCCTCTATGAACTTAGATGATTTTAAAAAAGGGCGTTTTTTTTCCGATAATTCGTTCAAAAAAAACTGTATAATAATAATAATAATAATAATAATAATAATAAAAGTGTGACTGGCGTGTGGAAGGTGACGACACGGGAGGCAACATCGGGACCCAGCAGGAGCAGCTCTTGAATTTTGTGGGACCCCCGTTGACTGCCAATCGCCGTGGTCCTCCTTTTAGGCGGGGAGTTGGGAGTAGGTGGAAATATTTTCTCTTTTGTTCCTCCCGTAGTTGCCGAGTAAAACGCGCTCTTCGCTATCCAACACTTTCCCTCCGGAATAGAATTCCTAGGGTTCTTTTTCTCTCTTTCTCCCCAATGAAAAGCTAAGCTCGTCGATGGAAACGATCCCTCCACGGCTTTCCTATACGTCAGCCAAAGCGTCCCCATGGGCGCCCTAACGGAGAACCGCAAGCGTCGCCTCGCCGTCGATTTCCGACTCCCCTTTTCCCCCCACCCCGTCTTTGATCTCGCTGCCGAGCCCTCTCCTCCCTCCAAGAAAGCCAGGTTCCCATCCCCGCCGGTCGAAACCCGGCCCCTCACTTCCCCGACGCCGGCGGCGGGGGGAACCCCCTCCTCTCCTCTCCGCCGCTTCCCTCCCGCCGCCCCTCTGCCTCGCCCTGTCCACGCCCCTCAGCGCGTCCTCAGGGCCTTCGGCCTCGGGTCGGCCCTTCCTAGCAGATCGCGGCTTCCGGAATCGTCTCCGACGCAGGAACGGGACTCCGAGATGGGGAATCTCGTGGCGCGGTTCCTTCAGGGAAAGAAAACTGCTAGCTTTACCCCATGGCGGACGGGGAAGAGGGGGGACGCTTCTGCTCGTCCTCGTGGGAGTCAGGGTTCGGAGGACAATGATGGGAGCGATGAAGTGTTAGGTTTGGATCAGTACAAGAAGTTAGTAAATAGCGTGCAAGAGCGCAACTTGGTCGTCTCCGGCCGGAAGTCTGTCGAGCTAGTGTTTGCTCCCACGCCATCTGGATTGTCGGAGCTGACGATTGTGACTCAGAAGCCTGAGCAGACACCCAACTTGCATTTAGTGAATCGGAAGGTTGAGGATGCAAGGAAACTTGTGGTGGAATCGACGTCATTGTGGGAGGAGAAAGCTTCGGTTAGTAGGAGTCCTTTGTATAAGGAATTGTATGTGGAATCTGCTAGAAGACATGATTCAAAGTTGAGGAACTTGGAGCTTGAAGTGAAGTTGGCTGAGCAGAAAGTAAGCTCCTTCCGTTTCGCACACCAGGAGCAGGAACCAAATATTAATGAGGTATTCTTTTTTTCTTTTGTTATAACTTTATATACTGTTCCATACATTATTTTATTACTTTGGTTATGAATTCTCTGTCAATGTGCTTAGATAGGAGTTACTATGGAAATAAATAATAGGTTTTTTTTGGCATTATGATATATGGAACATTGACCAAAGTCAATGTAAAAATAAGAACTGGCGTGTAACTCTGATTAGAGTTAAAAAAGGAATCTTAACAGTTCTGCTGAATGGTAGAGAAGGAAATAAAATTAGATGATGGAGAAACTCTTCATATAAGAAACGTTGAGCAAATGGAAACAACGATGACTTAGTTTGACTGGCCATTAGAAACTCAATTTAGTTGGTCTGGGCCTTTTTCCTCTGCTGAGATTAGAGATGATGATTATACTTCTGTGGCTAACCAACTCTTTTCCTGGTCAAATTTGGACTTCTTGACCTTGTAGAACCGCAAAAAATGATCTAAATTATAACTTATTAGTTTTTCATTTATTCACATGTTAATATATAAAATGGTCTTGACTGTTGTCTTGCAGTATCTTGTAAGACAATGTGAAAAATACTGTCACATATAAGCAAGAAAAAAGTAATCAAACTAAGTACTTGATTGAATTCAATCATGTTGCTGTTCCTTTCAGATGAGGTAAAATTACACAGCATGGGAGCTAAGCAGACAGCACTTGTTAAGCCTTTCTTAATTTATAGCAGCTAAACCAGCAATGTTTGGTCCAGATTTAAGTTATCATGGCATAACATTATTGAATTTTGTGTGAGTTCCGTTTGATGAAATAATTTCGTGAAATGGTAACTACAAACCTTCACTGCAACTGCATTGAACCGGCTATATAGATATTCTTGTGCCATTTTCCTTCAAACACTTAGCTGCTATTATTAGTTAAGAGGCAATTGAGCTGCCTCTGGTTATTGACATTAACTGTGTACATTGCTTCTTGGGATCTCCTATGATTGACTGTACCAATGGACTATATTCTTAAAAAAATATTTGTTTTGGGATTTAAATATTATAATGTACACCAGTTGTAATTATATGTCTAAGTATTGCACCCAAAAGATTTCTTAAATGTGTGCTGCTAAAATTTTCATACAACACTTTTCACTTTCCTTGCATCAATAATTACAATCTTAAGCTTTCATGCTTCCTGCAAGTGATTATCTCTATGAGATGTGTTCCTAATCAATTGTTACATAATATCTCTGTGGATCTAGTACATATTCTGTAAATAAGCATGAATATTTTCTAATTATTGTTTTATTCTATTGTCGTAATTCTAACCATCTGCCTATCATAGGATTTGAATGATGCTTTTCTCCCTCTCACTGATGAAGAAGAGGAGGATGTTTATCGTGCTTTGAATGGTACAAACAGGTATAAGTTGTGGTTAGATAATCCCATGAAATATATGTCCATTCAAGAATAATGCAGATATACTATCTGGTTTTAAATGTGGTTTTTCTTTTGGCTTTTGCAGTCGGGAAGTCCTAGTTGTGCACGAGCCTTCTAACATTGAGATAACAAGAGAGGTCTTGCGGTGCTTGAGTCACAAAGCTTGGCTAAATGATGAAGTAATTCTTATTTAAATTTATCTTGTACTTTTGATTGAATGTTTTAGTGATTTCAAGCTAGTCTTCTACTCTTCTTAGGACTATCTCACTTTATTTAATGAACATGAGTTTCCCTTCTTGTGTAGGTCATAAATTTGTACCTTGAACTGTTGAAGGAAAGAGAGAAAAGAGAACCCAAGAAGTTTTTGAAATGCCATTTCTTCAACACATTTTTCTTTAAAAAGGTTTACTTTTATCTTCATTTCTCTCCTAAGAGCTGACTTTCTAATCTCCTTTAGTGTGGTTATGTGTTGTATTATTCTATACTGAGAAGAGAATGCTCCTGTTTCTTCCTTTATTCTTTGATGTTCATTATTAATTTTTCTCATGATTTTGGAGGCTTATCAACATTCACTAGGTGTCAAGTCTTAGTAGGAGAAACTATGAGAATTCTTCTGAGAATAAAGCATTAAGCTCTATTGCTCCATAACTGTTGTGAAAATGTTACTAAGAAAGATTTCAAATCTCCAGCAGGAGTTGCAAATATCACATTTCTACCTGACTGTAGGAAAGAGAGTTTCTTATGTTATTTAGTGAAATATAGGTTTATGTTAAGTGAACAATTATAAAATTAACGTATAGTAAAGAACTGCAAGTTTTAATACTTGTTAGAACACTGCCCTGGTAATTTTTTCCTTGGTTTGGAGGACTTTGATGTTGCACATTGTATATTGGGCGATGTGCAGATGAGGTAAATTGAAGGCCCTGAATATTTGTTGATGTCCATAATTAACTATGTGATTGTTAGACTGATTTAGAGGGAATTCAGGCATTAGATTGTAATATTTTGGGAATTGAGTGGGAGGTCTAACATCTCTTTTTACCAAATAATATGAATGTGTGCAGTGCGTGTAAGGGAAAAAAACCTGAACCTTTTTTAATATCGTTCACTTTGACAATTACACCTATTTTTAAGTCAATCCAATCAAATGGCAAGCGCAGTCAGCCATACATTTATTATCATGGTTTTGGATTCATTTAGTATAAAAGAAATTAGGGCAAATCATTTCTAGAATAGCAAAATTTATTAAAAAACTGAAGTATGGCCCCAAAGATGTTGAATGATAAAGCTCTTAAGTCTTAACCCAAGCATGCTTCTGTGGTGTATAAAGATTTACTCTCTGTTTAATGCTTTGTTGTCTAGTACTTTAAGTCACATGTTTTCTTTCTTTTTAATTTTTCTAAAGAATAACTGTTACTGTTGAAAACATTTCATAATTGACAAAAGAAAAATTACTTATCAGTACTCTTTTTAATGAAAACACCATCCTTAGGTTAAAGATTCACATTTCTTTTAAAGTTGTGACTTAGCACTTTTAATGCCTTGCCTCAACTTCTTTCACATGGAATTGGATATAATTCTCTCTCACATTTCTTAAATGTTCTTTAAAAATTGAATGCAATAAGCTTATCTGGTTATTGGAGTTTGTCAATGGACTCTCAAATCCTCTTATCTAATCAGGATATGTGCAAAATTAGGCTCTTGCTAATAGCAAATAAGTAATCTTGTTCACTATGGAACACTTTAATAGAAAATTGTTTTTGGCTGTTCTCATCTATGATGACATCCACTTCTTGTGTTTTTCGTGTTACTCCTTCAATATGAAATATCGTAACATGCACGTCATACCTTTAGAAAAGTATCCTAGTTCTTTATGATCTCTCAAGTTTATTTTGTTTTTTTAGACTGTTATTCCATCACAAATCTCCTCATGGTCTTCAAAGTGGTCATTATATATGCACAAAGATGTCACTGTAGGTGCTTTTCTTTGGCTTCTTTTGGTTTACATTTTTTTTATCAGTCTATGAGGTAAGTTTTCTGAAGACCCATTCAGATAATCATCAATAGCTTCCTCTTTTTTTAATTAATATACTGTCAGTGCATAGTCATGATAATGACCCTCCCTCCCCTCTCTCGTTTTTTAGGAAAGCGTTTTGGTTAATGTAATCTTTATGAACTTTAGCGTGTTTAGCTTTTGGTAGATGAGATTTGAGACAGTCCTATTGACTAATGAGAATTTTTGCGGTTGGAATTTTTCCATTTGAAGCAAACCATGCTAATGTTGTGTTCAGGTTATTATTTTACCTTGTTTTTTGGCTTATTGTTTAGTTGACAAGTGGAAGCAATGGTTATGACTACAAGGCTGTAAGAAGGTGGACAACACAAAAGAAGCTAGGATACAAGCTTGTTGAGTGTGACAAAGTAATTATGTCCCTTTAGTTCCTCATTTATTTCTATCAATATTATTTACTTTAAGCATTTCCTTACCCTCATGCCTCTTTGCAATTTATATTACAGATATTTGTTCCAATACACGGAAAAGTACATTGGTGTCTAGCCATTATTGATGTAAAGAAGAAGAAGTTTCAGTATCTTGATTCACTTGGTGGAATAGATACAACAGTGTTGCAAGTACTGGTATGCTACAAGTACATATTCTTTATAAAACTAAAGAGTTGAATAAATAGATTTTGGATTTTATGACACTATATAAATGCAAAATTTTATGGCACTAAGATGAACTTTTGACTTTTCTCTCTTGTTTCTTAACTTTATTTTTTTAGAGAGCTCCTTCCTTTGGTTGTTGTTTTTAATGGGCATATGAACTCTATGGAGATTTCCCAATCTTGTAAATTATTAAATAGATGAATTTTTTTTTAAGGACAGTGATCGAGTTTTATTGAGATTAGGTACAGTTCCAGTAGAAATTTAGTTATTTCTTATGTAATTTGTAGTATTTTTGGATTTAATTTGAAGTTTTAGGTTGGGCTGTTTTCATGTTTAAGATCTATTTCTCAGTTTGTAGCTGTGGTAGAAATTGGATTGTGAGAGTTGCAGCATTCATTCTCAAGAAGTTCTAGATGCTGAATTTATCATTTGCAGATTTTCTAAAACAGGCAGTTTTGTCTTTTAAGTTTGTGTATAGGGTTTCACATGTCTGAGAGCAGCTAGTTTTGTGTGATTATTTGAGTCTGTGAAATAATTCTGAGAACAACGAGTTCTGTTTTGTGAAATGAGTTTTTCTTTTGGGTTTCTGGTCACCGATCCCTGGTCTGTTTCTCACTCTATCTCTTCTTTCTTTTTCTTTGTTTCTGTAGCAGAACTCTTGTATCTATAAACATGTTCATATCTGAACTCTCTTTCTTTTCTCTGTAAAGCCTTCACTACATATTTGCACATTTAATTTGGTTCAGACCCTCCGATGGTTATCATGTTCAATCAGTTCTAGGTTGTGTAAAGAAGATAGATTTTGTATTCATATGTTTATTCTTGGTTCTGGCTGATGTGCATCAATATTTAGACCCCAGTAGTTCCAATCAGTTAAGCATATGCTGTGTGCAGTTTTCTCCTATCATCTACAATCTATTTCATAGCAGAGGCCTATCCACATTTTACCTCTTTTAAAGCCTTTGATCTTGTTCATATGGGTTGTACTTAAAGAGATCAAATTTGGCTGAATTAAAGGAGGTGCCGCAAGTATCCCTAGTTGCTGATCCTTCCAGAGATTATTTGAGCCAATTAAAGAAGTCAATATGTAGGTGGATCTAAAGTAAGCAAAGTTAGTCGATGCATCTTAAAGTCCTACCAAAACATATTCCGAGATCATGCAACCATCTGTAAAGTTGCTGTTCAACGAGAGCTTGCTACCATGTGGGTATGCTCTGTATATTGCAACGTTGGTGCTTGGTTGCTTCTTCAGTGCAATTCCGAAAGGGGTATACGAAGGAGAAAGCATAGGGGAGAAGCAGGCATGGGGCTCAATTTTAGCTCTGTGAAACTGGAATTAGGTAGGCTAAGTACTCAAAGCAGGGTTTCATTGTGGAACATAGAGCTATTTAATTATGTTACATTTGGTTTGGTTTTTGTGATCTATATCTCACAGTGAACTAAGATCAAGTCAACTTGAGTTTTATTAGCTGCGGTTGATTGAACTGAACAACTTGCTCTTGTGGTATGGAAAATTGGCCAATTTTGATCTAGATTTGATCTGTAACAATAATCCAAAACAGCCAAAAGATAAGGCTGATTAATCTTGGCCTTCAGTGCAACAAAAAAACAAAAGAGAGAGAGATCAGAAAATAATGCTGGAGCTCTGACAGTTTGGATATTCAATGAAGGGATGTATTCAAATGATTTTTTTTTCTCAAGTTGGATGTTTGTCACAAGAGAACTTTTGCGGGGGAGACATGAAAAGGCGACAGGTGGAGAGGCCGAACCCTTTATGTGGGCTACTTCAGGAGTCTACTAGTGGCTTTTAAATAACAGATGCAATCATCTAAATGTGAATACAGATGTGGAGAAAAATAAAAGGTATTGCAGATCTAATCGTTAGCTTCACTATCTTAGGTATTTACTATGGTGAGGTCAGATGCTTGTATATAAATTGTACCAAGTATTTTAGATTATGTTCCTTTCTTTTTTAAATCTCTCAATCAATAACCTGATATTTTTTAGTATTAAAGTTTATCATAATCTTTCAACTGATTTTATTTAAAATCATTTTTACCTTTTTTTGTAAATGGAAATATATCTTTTGTTCATGTGTTTTATTCCATCTATATGCTGTTTGCCTAGGTCTATCTCTGTTTCACGATTTTTTTTTTTCTATTTTATTAGTTTGATTTTCAATTTTCTATTCTGATTTTAATGACCTAATTTATTTCTTAAAACTCTAAGAAATACACATGATGTCATTGAGATGGATTATTTTGGTTGTTAACAAAGACATAAGAAATACACATGTGCTGATAACTAGGTTTATTCCAAGCATAACAAAACAAGAGAAACCCATTTAAGGTGATAGTCGCCCGTTGAGAGAAGACTTAAGACGCCCCATTTACACTAGGTGACTCAATTAGGATTGGTGGTGCAAGGGAATGTACAGAATATTGGAAAACTGTAATATGTTATCAGCAGTAGAAAATGATTTGATATCTCCTAGTTTGACTAGTGGTGATTGTGCTCAAAAGAGCTCGACAATGGGACCTTAGCACCTTATGGCTTGTTGTTGTTGTATGTTATTTGGCATAGCTAGCTCCCCAGTTTTATTCCCTATCCTAATTTCTGGAGGCAGAAAACCCAAGTCTTGCCGCGTGGGACTTGTTCAATATAAAACCCAAAAGAAATTATTCTCTAAATGTCATGGTGGTGATTAAGATACAAGGAAAAAAGTAAATCCACCTGTTGAGAGCCTTGTTCTTGAGTTGTTATCCTGTGTTTCCAGTGACAATGTTTTCAGTTAGAAGCTTGATGCAATTTGGTGAACTTCTATGGCTAAGATTGATTCTGCTGTTGTGTTGTAAATATGTTCCTTGTTTCAGGCTAGATACTTCATGGATGAAGCGAAGGATAAGAGTGAAAATCAGGTTGATGCACTATCTTGGGATCTGGAAGCAGTTCGTGACCTACCTTTACAGAAGAACGGGTATGTAACTTCTTTTGAGCAATCTCATTGATTCCTGCTGAAATGCATAATTTGTTATGCATACTTAAAGCTGCTGAAATGCATAATTTGTTGTACATGTTTCATTTTCTTTTAGCACAATTATAAAGATCATCTGATTCTTTATGAAGCATGTTCGTTTTACATGATTATTTTTACTTGAACTTTTTTTAAAGATTTAGTTCAATATCATGTCATGAGTGAAAGACCCCGATTTCATTTAGCCTGCACACTTTTTGTCCATGCCTGTGTTATTTTGCCTTTCCTCTCTTGGTCTTTTACTTTGTTATTTAACTTCACTGAAAAGTTAAGTGTGCTTTTATTATTGCTACAAGTTCTTGAGCCAATGAACAAAGCCTTATACTGGTGTGCATGCATGACATGCCATGGTATGGTTTCATGCTCAAATTGGACCAGCACAATTCCATCTGCCTGCTGTTCTGGTCAGGTGGTCGTAGGAAATCACTCATCACATGCTTGTGCTTATTGCTAGTATTCACCAGCATGGTGCGTACAGGTTGGCACAAGGTGGTGCAGCTTCTCGGGATTCTGTCATCTTGTTAACCTGTCACATTTTGCTGGTCATCTTTCGCGTCCTGTCTCGTAGTGTGTGTTGATGTCACTATGCATACCTTAAACCCTATCAAAATCCGAGCTAAAATTTTGGGTTTGGATTGTCATTTCAGATCCAATAAACTTGTGGAACCAGTTATGGCATGTGTAAAACTGATTCACACTTCAAACCTGACCCAAAATTTTTGGATACATAAAATTTTACATAATGTTGATGTTCACATTGCAGGTATATTTAATTACTTACTGTAAGCTGCTGCTCTTTTTTTTATGTTAAGCATATATTGCTGGGGGCACCTATATTTCATGTATATTTTTTTGATAATTTTCTCCTTTTTGAATACTTAAAAAATGATTACTCGTCTAAATAGGTGGGATTGCGGGATGTTCATGCTCAAGTATGCTGATTTTTATAGCCGTGATTTAAGCCTATGTTTCAACCAGGTGCTAATTCCTTAAGCTTGTAGTTACTCTGCTTTGAATGCTCAAATCCCATGTCTACCTGGTGAAGTTGCAAGTGGATCAGGACAAATTTAGAGCTTGCTACTTTTCTGGGCGTATGAGCACTGAGGGTTGTACATTTACGGAGTTTTCTTTCTTTCTATAGGAAAACATGCCATACTTCAGGATGAGGACTGCCAAGGAGATTCTCAGATTGAGAGCAGAATGAGGGAAAATATATCACACAAACTACATTTTGGCATGAGATGAAGCCTTCCTGATAAGCTGCAGAGATCAAGTGAATATTGTATCAAGTGGCAATACAGCCTAGGATCTGCTTACAGAATCAGCTGGTATAAAGCAGGTTTCTTCTGTATCTTGCAAAGGAATGGCTTTGAGAATGCAAAGGAAAGGTTTTGTTTTCTTCAACAATTTGAGTTGGTTTTCTTCTTCATTTTAGATTGTTGTCAATGTGTCTCCTTTCTATCACCTTTCAAACTATATCTTAGAGAGAGCTCAGGAAAGCAACTCAATTCCCACCAAGCGTGCCTGCAATCAACTAGTTGTTTCCTGTGATGAACTGTACGGCTTGTCTACTCTGTTGGCTTAATGGTATTGATTCTTATCTATCTTTATCATCTTTGTTGTCAAGTCCACTGTACAATAAATGTGCCAAAACTCGATCTGATTACCACTGCATAAAGGAGACCCTGATGATGTCAACACACGTGGGATTGGATTTGGCACCATAGGATTTTGAACGCAGAAATCTTACATTGGTGAGGAGTCGAGAGAGAACGTCGCTTTCCACGAAACTCCGCACGTGCAAGTCACATGGTGCAGTCGGTTCTTGGGGGATGGGCTACACACGTGCCGGGAGAGTGATTGGTGGAGAAGACGTGAGCGAGACGTCCTCGTTACTTCTCACCGTCATTATTACGACTTAGGTTGCGATTGTAGACGTGGCGCCAAACGCGTCCCATCGGGGAAGTATCTTTTTCTTTGTCACATCCCCGTCGCTTCACCAAAGCTTCGTCCTCACACGAGACAACGGACGATGGCGGCGGAAGTGGGAAAGCCGGCGATGGTGGTGGGGATTGACGACAGTGAGCACAGTTTCTACGCGCTCCAGTGGACCCTTCGTCGCTTCTTCTCCGTCGCTGATTCGGCCTTTAAGCTCGTCGTCGTCCATTCCAAGCCGTCGCCCGCCTCCGTCGTCGGCCTCGCTGGCCCTGGTTCTTTCTTATGTGAAGATTAAATATTTGGTGTGCGTTCTGCCGAGGCCCTGTTGAGACTGACAGTTGCTTGTTTGAGCTTCTTGATTTCAGGGGCGGCGGATGTGCTGCCGTTTGTAGAGTCCGATCTCAAGAAGATCGCTTTGTTGGTGATCGAGAAAGCAAAGGATCTTTGCTCCGCGTTCCCGGTAATTCTGATTGTCCCTGATGGTTTTTTGTTAGGTTGCTGATTTCTCAGCTTTTGTTGATGTAACATGCTTTTGGTAAGTAGCTACATTTGGAAATTGTCGCCCTAGAATCATTTGCGGGCAATAAAGTTCATAATAAGGCGTAAAGCTATGACAACTAAAAGGATATGATAAAGAAGTTAAACTGCATACTGATTTGCGAAACTCCATGATGCACCAGTAAGACTGCAATTTCTCCACAAAAGACATCCTTTGAGCACTTAACTTCTTTTTCCTTTCTTTTCCTAGCATCGAATTTTCTTGATTCAAATGATGGTGCTGGGTTTTCGATTTTGGCATACTACTCTAGAAAGGATTGTTCTCTTTTTCCACGCATGAAGTTAGAATGATTCAACGCCAAGCAGACTCCCATTCTTAATGAATGGTTGGTAATGGATAGAGTACTAATTATTGTCAAGTCAAATCTCGTAGCTGAGAATGGATGGTTGCTAATGGGCAGAGTAGAGTAACATGACTCTATGTTGGTAGTCTTTATCAAGGTCAGCTCACTGAATTCCTATCAGCTTTAGTACTTTAACCTGATTTCACTGTTTTTCCTATGCCTGGGAACAATCTGCCGTGAAGGAACTAGCTTTCTTATATTAGGTTTGGGCAAGCTAGAAGCAGTGAAGAGTGCTTTGCAATCAGTAGAGTTACCATTTACTTTTCTTATATTAGGTGTAGAATGCTTCCTGTAGTCAAAGCTTAGAACATGTCGTAAGGAAGATATAATATGTTGTTGGAAAGATCAATATCTTGTCATACAAGCAAAGCACAAAGTCTTTATTATAAACCATTTGTAACATGTTTGAGCAAACTCACTAAGTGTGTGTCATTTTAAAATATCTGTACAATTATGTACTTTCTAATGCTTGTTATTATGGAATTGTCTTCATTCATCTGCAGGTGGGTGACATTCAATATGAACTAGTGGAAGGTGATCCAAGGAATGCTCTATGTGATGCAGCGGAGAAACATCAGGCAGAAATATTGGTGGTCGGCAGCCATGGCTATGGAGCGATAAAAAGGTCCATAAATTGTATTCTTGTTCATGGATTCAATGCTTTAAGTAGTCACTTGAGGAACATATTAATAGACTTTTGTTGAAACATCCATGGTGAGGAGATTGTTGACAATGTACAGATGGTTTAATATAACAGTTCGTCTTTGGATCTGTGGCAGCCAAGTAGATTAACCTATTACTCTTGAAGCAGTCAGGTGGATAGCTAGCAGCCATTTATTTTTTATTATCAGAAATAACTTCAATTTCTATCAAAAGAAGAAATTGAAATTAAATTTTTATCTTTGCATTTCTTAAGATTAATCATGTAATTAGCATATTACTCTTTCATAACCATGCTCTGGTTAGCCTATTTAAGGGCAATTATCTTTTAACTTATTAGTGTCCCAAAAGAAAGAGCTTCTTTTTTCCACATGTCCTATACTGCTAGAGTAGGAAAAAAGAACAAGCTCTTCTTCTTTATCAAAGAACCTAACTAGTTAGATTATTAAGGGAACTTGATAAATCAAGATTAAATTCTATGTGTTAACATATTGGTTTCTGAGAGCTTTAGAGGACATTTTAACTGGACTTCCTACTAGATCAGGATGCTTTATCAATTGAATCATGGAATGAACAAAGTAAACATGTCCTTTTCATGTTCATCCTGCTCTTGTTGACTTTACTAATCTACAGACTTTCCTGCAGGGTTGTTTTGGGCAGTGTGAGTGATCATTGTGCTCATCATGCACAGTGCACTGTCATGATAGTAAAGAAGCCAAAGCCGAAACACTGAGCTTGTTCTAATTGATGAAAAACACTGCAAACTGTATCAAAATTTGAAGACTCATCTTTGGTAATAATAAGCACTTCTTCAAGACTACTGTATAACTGCTGTATGTTGAACAAGTAACCAACTTATATTTGTGATCCGGATTTTTTTTTGGTTCTGTAAAGAAAAAAAAAAGAAAGGTATATTGGCTTGTGTTGCACAAATAGCCTCAAAAAAGTGTGGAAATTCTATGTGGGTCTCATAATTTGTTTAGAAGTGGCTCAAACAAAGTACTTGTTTCCTATGCTATAATTTGGGCATCCCCTTCTAATTCTTTGAAGAGACCACATTTAATCTGCATTGGTTGAAGAGTTGGATCATTTAATCATTATTATTCTTTGAGTGTCCACCTTAAAAGTATAATTAATTACATTGCAGAGTTCATCCCATAGTATATGATTCTTTATGAATTAAATAATAATTAATATTAGTTAGTTTAAATTAAAATTAACTCTCTATATTTTGAAAGGATATATAGTAAAATTAAATTAGAGAAATAGATAAAAAATTACTTATTTTAAAGGACATCAATATATAGATTATACGCGCCACCAAAGATACGCGCACGCTATGGTGGTATCCAAATGGGTAAACGAAAACTAGTAAGGATTAAATGTTCTCTCCTCACCTCAACTTCTATTATTTGCTTGTTAGGATCCTCTCCAATTATTCTTTCGATCGGAATCCTAAAATTCTAATACATCCACCGCCACATCTCCCGGTTTCGATACGAATGGTCCGATGGTGTCCTGCAAGAATTGGACAGGATCCAGTTCTTTGTCTCGGCAACTGCATATGACTTCCTATGATGTGGCACCCATGTCCGTCTCATACGGTTCGGTCATCACGTGGAGGACACACGATTTCGGGCACGCATACGGAGTTGTACGCGGAGGTGCGACATGTGATTGTATGTGCTATGCTTGTTTCTGGACCACGCAATAAAAGCCACAGTTTTGTGAGAGGGAGGGCGATATCTTCTCGGAAGTGGAGGGGTGAGAGGAGCCTCTCGATCGGAATCTTAGGGTTCGGGGAGGAGCCTGTGGATTGGGAGTTGGGAGAGGAGGTAATTGTTTGCCTTTTCTGTTCTTGACGACCGGGGAGATTCGTGGGGATTAGGGCATGAAGGGATGGGCCTTGGGGGAGCAGCGAAGGACACCAAGGAGCGCGAGGAGGTCGTGCACATCGCCTGCTCGATCTGCCTTGAGGCGGTGAAGAGCGGCGGGGATCGGTCTACCGCCAGGCTGCAATGTGGGCACGAGTTCCATCTCGGTCGGTTGTTCTACTCGATTCCCGATGGCTTGATTTTTCCCTTTTGGTTTCTATTAATAGAGCCGGAGATTTGTGCAAATTGATGGAAAGATCCCTTCTTTTTAGATGTGAAAATTAGATTTGGATAGGTTGGTTGTTTGGATTAGAATTGGATAGGTTGCTTGTTTGGATTAACTTTTTCCTGTTATCTTGTTGCTAAGATTTATAGGAATTGCGGTCTCGAGAGAGAATAAATATATTAAGAAATTTTATTAATGGCTAAAGCAATTTTGCCCATATGAGTTGCGTGGTAGGTTTCGCTAGTTGTCTATTTCTGTTTCTTTTTATTTATTTATTTATTTATTTATGAGCACGATGTTATCTTGGAATTTCGAAGTTTACAAATTTATGCTTTGTTATTCTTGAGGGGTGCAGAACCAACAAGCTCCCTCATTCTAGATGAGTAGAAGCATGTGAAAGATAAAAATATTATCTTTGTTATTTTTAAGTAGACGATTCATTTGGGCATCTTAGACTGCAGATGTTGTCTCCAAAGTTGTGGTCCATTTTCCTTGTCTGTCTGGTGACTATGAAATGTTGGCTAAATACCTGTTTCAGAAATTTAGCGGTCATAAGGATGGGGTCATGGGACTGTTTAAATTGTGCTTGTGTTTGTATTGATTTACGAGGATTATCAACTAATTATTAAAAAATCATTGGATTCATCTCTCATGGGAATCATTTTCATTTCCCTCTTATTCTCATCATGTGCTAGAGGGCCACATGTTGAAGGCTGTCAAGGACTCGATATCCTCCCACCTCACTTCAAAAAAATTATTGGAATACTTTGATTACTTATTCTGTATATACAACAAAAAAAAATAAAGCTAGAAGTTTGTACAATTGTGAGAAGCTGTTTATTTTTTTTACTGGATTTTTCTTGAGTATGTTGCATTATCATTTTTCCCATGCAGAATCTTTTTAAAATTTGACTTCTGTGTAACCATAGAAGTCTCTTTTTGATCATTCAAGAAGTCAGTCTTCTGTTTATTCATCTCACATGTCATTCTATTAGGTAGAGGACAAGTTCAGTATCCTACCTTTTGCTTGGCGCATTTTAACTTGATTCTGTTTTATCTCTTCTATCTTACAATTGGGGTATTAGTTGGTATTATTCTTTTGCAATAAACTGTTCATATGACTTCTTTGCAACAAACCTTCTGTACAACATGTTGATTTATATTAGACATTCTTAATGAAGCTTCTGGTCAAAATTCACCATTTCTATTATTTCTTCAGATTGCATTGGTTCAGCATTTAATGCTAAAGGTGTGATGCAATGCCCTAATTGTCGAAAAGTTGAGGAAGGCAACTGGCTATATGCAAATGGTTCTCATCCAACACCAGAGCTCAATATGGATGACTATATCCATGATGAAGACCTCTACAGTCTTGGTTATATGGAAAATGTATGCTGATAACTGAAATCACCACCCTCTTTTATAATATATTTTAGTACAGAGACTGGCATAAATTTCCCTAGCAAAATCTTGGCTGCAGGAACAGAATAGCCTATTGCATATACTATTAAAGGATAGTAGATTCTGGTATGCAAATTTGCTGACGAGTAGGCATCCTTGATATACTATACAAGTATCAAAGTTTAAGGACATAATATGACTATAGAGACATTATTGTACAATAAAAGAGCGAGAAAAAAAGATAGAGATTTGAGTAACCATATGATTAATAAGTTGGTTCATTATCAGCACCATGAAAAATGGTTTAGGATATTGTAAAGGGATAATGGTTTTTTTTCACACTATAAAACATGTTTGTAAACAATAGCTTATGTTGCTCGTATGCCCGTTGTTTTGTCTATGGCTCTTTCTAAATTGGATTATATAGTTAAACTTTTATGCAATTTGCTTGTTCATGTCAAGCTTTTATGTATCTTTTTTGTGCTGACTGCAAGTCACAAGGATCTAACCATTCTCATCTTGAAATGTTTCTCTTATTCAAAAGAGGGAAGAGCCTGCAAACTATCAACTAAGATAGCTAAACTGAATGAAATAAACTTTAGTAAGTAATAAGAAGGATAACAATACAACTTTTCTTTTATATTTTATAAATGCAAATGTCGGGAACCACAAAAGGTAGAAGTTTTGGTGTCAAAACATAGAATAAGGAACAACTATATATGTGAATAATTGATGTGAGGTAAATCAATCTTACAATCTCTTTAATTTGACTAGTTAAAAAAAACTTTGCTTTATTATTTTTTGGAACTCATTTTGCTTGTTGAGCTTTTCTTTGTGACCTATTGTTATTATGATAACGATGAATTAGAGATCAGCATTGTTCAAAGCATAGTTGTTAAAAAATTTACTACTGACCATCCATATTTCTGCTTGTGTACTGGATGTGCAATGCATGTAGAGACTCTTTTGATAGACATGTTTATATCACCATAGGAAAGGATTGTTTGCAATAACATCCATTTTTTGAGGCAATGTGTGAAGCAGGATTTAGAAATTAGAGAATTTTGACTTACAACCATTTTAAGGAGTAATTATAGAGCCCAGCGTTTGATTCATCAATCTATTGTTCAGATGTGTAGCAATCCCAGCAGTTACTTGAAATCTACAATTACATACAAGTGGAAACAAGTCTAGACTTAGTTGAAGAGAAGATATACGGCCAAGAGTTATCTTCACGAACATAAGTCTCACAAGTCAACAAACTGAGGTCTTGGTGGTAAATTAATTGGTATGCTCTGGAACTAACTTCAATATCTGACTTTTATACCCCTTTTATTATAGCTTGTGGCCAAATCCAGCATATATTTAGTTCAGGAATTACCACAACTTTTAAATCCATTTGTTGGGAATTTTGTTTATACTATGTACAATTTTAAATTTATGGTGGTTTCTCGCCTCATTTTCCTACGTTTTATCCTCCTGATTGTACAGTCATCATGTCTCGATTTCGGTTGGAATTTTCATTTTTTCTTATATTTCTTTCTGAGATATGCTTCATATTTGAGAGGATTGTTTTCACATATAAGAACATGTTATGATCTTTCTTTCTTTTTTTATTGCTTTATTTGTTTGTGCAGCCATTTGGAGGTCACTGGTGTCCATTTCGTGGCTTGGCAAGGATTCCATCATTGTTTGAGTAAGTTCGATTATTTTATGTGATTTTTAAATGTTGGATAGGATCCATTTAGTTCTCACCTTAATTTATGGAAGTTAGTTTTTTTTTCATTATTGGTGGAAGATGGTTCTTGCTTTTAACAAGCTGTATTACTTGATCCAAAATTTTCAAAACTTAAACAATTCATTAGCTTAAATTCTTTGCTGGACCTATTAGAAAATATGAAGTTTACACTAGTCTGATCTAACTTGCAATCAATGATGGTTGTAGGTGTTTAATTCAGGGAGTTGTCAGAACATTGTGCTTTGAGTTCTCTTTACCAAATTTCATGCTTGAATTGATTATGCACCTATTACAAAAAAGAAAATTGTTTTATGAGCTTTATTCCAAGGTCGTATGGAGCTTTATTTTTTACTGTTGAATTATTTAACCAATCATGTCTGCACCAGACGTGACTCATATGTTGGTTCAATCAATAGGTTTCTCCTAGGATCAACTCTTCATCGATTCCTTCAAGAAAGAACTACCTTCTTTTTTCTAAACCAGTATGTGCCTTCTGTTTTGAACCTTGATACTGTTGGAATTGTGTTTGGAGTGACTAATTTCATCCCCAATATTTCTTTCTAATCCTGATGATGGTCTCAGGTATCAATATTACTATGCATGTTGTGCTGTAATTGACTCCACATGGATGTATCTTGAGTCAAGACAGTGTGTACCACCCAAGGCATGCACAGGTTTATAGTTGGGCATGAATGTGACATGGCCGTGTAGGTGCATGCCTCTTCCCAGTTAGTGCTACCTTGGTGATGTTAGAATGTGAATCTTTGTGTTGTTTGGTGTAGGGGAATCGAAGTTTGAAGGTCTTAAGAAGTGCCAGAAAAAAATTTAATGTACCAATTTAGTTATATTTTAATAGTGCTTTTCATTAAAAAATCAAGTTGATGACCACCTGTAGATTTTTGTGAAATTCTTTTCATGGAGCCTACTTATACTATTTCTCACTTGATTTTTCCCAACAGTAATTTTAAATTTCCATGAACATTTAGGAATAAAGCATCCTACTCAAGTAGTAAACCATCTGCTTCTTTATGGACCTGAAGTTAAATACAAGCTGGAAAGCTGAGGCCTACTTTCTTGGATGGCTATGCCACCCAGGAGGCTTTCTTGGGGTTGCTGGTTTGAATCCTCCTCTAGCACTTTATGTGCCTGTTTCCTCTTTTCCTCAGTGGTGGATAACTGCCCCCCATCTGGAGTGTGGTTGTGCCACACTGCTGTGATGCCAAAAAAAAAAGCTAGATATATATAGTTGAGGGACTTTATCTTTGTGAATGATTTGCTATACTATTTTGCATGTTTGGAATTCTTATGTAAATGTAGGATGTATATTCAATGCCTGCATTTGGACAGATTAATGAATAGACTTTGTTCCTAAAAGATGCATTTTTTTCCTTTTAACCTACATAAAAGAGTTTCCACAAATCTGGATCTGTGATTTTGTTACATAATGCAGACTATTTTATAAAGAATGACAAAGAGGTTTTATGATACAGATATTGCATTAGTTTCCACCCCTGATAGTGAGAGAACTCAAGAAGTGCAGTGGGTGTTTTTCTCTATTAAGGTCGTTGTTGGTTGGTGGCGTATATATGTCATCATAGGCCACTTTTATAACTTATATGTACTTTGCATCAGCTAATCGTGTAGCCTCTTGGTTCTGCGGTGGCAATTTTATTTTTCAATTTCCTAATCTTTTTGTTTCTGGCATTGTCAAAGTTATTGATGAAAGTGCTGTATGCATGCTTGACTGACAATTCACTAAAATAAAGCCAACTCCCTTTTTGTAAGATATTTTTTTTGAAAGAGAAAGTAATGTTGCACTAATAATCACTACAATGTGGTGTGAATGCTCTTATTTATGTTTATTGAGTTTCATTGAATGTCCAAGTCAAAAGCTTTATTCATGTCTGAAATACTTGGTCTTGATTGTTTGCATGTACTAAACTTGTCCTTCTTTCATACTAGGGAAGGCGAATCTTCTCCACCTGTTGCTTGTAAGTCAATACTTTGCTGAAAAATGTATAATTAATTGATACGTTGCTCCAAAAATTTGGAATAGCTGAGTAACATAATGTGGTTTTGCAGTTCGGGATCCTTTGGGATATCATGCTATTGTAATGGAGAATCAGGCTACCCTGTCAGCTGCTCATCCATGCCCTTTTATTGGTGCACGATTGCCCCAAACTTCTTCTTCCTCAAGTAACCATCCTTTTGATGTCCATACTGATGGTCCTGGATATCACTACCGGTGGAGTCACTTCCCAAGTGCAAGAGATGTTCAAAATCCTCTTATGATGGCTCCAAGTAATCTTCATTATCGTGGTTGGCAACACCATCATCCATCATATTCTCCCAATGCCCATGTCGGTGGTGCTGACGCAGCATCAGGCTTTCCAAGGCTTAGAACTGATGGTTTACCTACCGCTGATTCTGTTTTCCATCCCTTTGTTCTCAGCCATGGGTAAGCTATATTCTCAAATATTTATTGACTTATAATTGTGATGTTACTCTTTCAAAATCTCACAAGCTTCATATACATCAAGTGAAGTATGGCAGAAATTATTCCTCTCCACTTTGCACCCTGTTTTAGTTCTAACGTGCAGAAGGACTTGGTCTTGTTGAAAAGGCAGCCTGGATATTTCCTCGACTTTTCTGCAGATTTGTCTAGCCCATAGGAGACTTTACACCATCTGTTTCTCTCACTGATTGATTCTAAATCCTTGGAAGAAAGAACCGTATCAACATTTTCCTTTTTGATTTCTGCTTTACTATTGCCTTAAGAATGATGGGTATGCCAGTGGTTATAGATCTAATTCTTACCTTTTTATGACCTCTGCTAGTCATCCGATGTGATATGGTAAATATGCTTTAAATATCTTGTCTATCTGATAATTCTGATTAGTCCTTGTTTCCATTTTTTTCCCAGAAGTGGTTCCAGGGCTGGGGCTACCAGCTCTTCTGTTCCCTCATTGGTTCCACCTTATCTTAGAAACCATGGAAACATCCATGAACGCTATCGACTGCAAACTTCTCAAAGTCTGGAGGGAACAGCAATGCTGCAGCCTGGAAGTTCGAGGGGCTTCAATCCACTGGACCAGTGTGGTCCTTTTCTTGTTTCTCCAGCAATTCCATTGGGTCAAACTGCTGTGGATGCCGAGAACATGGGAAGCAACCGCCTCTGTGCATGGGAACGCGAGTGCTTTGCATCCCACCATCCATATTCTCGTGTTGACAGAGAATGCAGTTGTTGGGGCCCTTTCCCACCAGCTATTGGTGTATCAGACTCCAACCCGAGGATGACCTTCTTCCCACCCAATGTTCCTGAGATTTCATCGTCACAAGCGGGGTACAATCGATCCATACCCCCAGCACACATGCTGTCTTTGATGTGATGCAGCCTGGTGAGATCTTGAGATACACGACTCCCCGATGACAAGAAACGCAGTAATGTCATTCAAACTGTTCCGATGACACTTTTTAGATCTTCGCTACCCGTAACAGCATGTCTATTGTTGATGTCTGGAGAAAGGCATGAACCGAATAATCTGTTTGAACCTGTTCCAGATAAAGTGCGCATGAAATCTCTCTATAAGCCTGAAACTGTTCATTGTCAGTAAATGGAAGAATGCTTCTCCACGAAATTTTCGAGGGCAGGTAGCATACCGATAAATTTATGTAGTTGATACTGAAGTTGCGGGTTTAAATTTGCTATCAAGAATACAGTACAAATCTTTGAAACTTGAAAGAGAACTTGTTTATGTTAGAACTCATTGATATCGGTTCTTGATTGATTGAAGGGCATGCATGTTTGTTATGTAATATTCCTGATTGATTAAAGCACAAAGAGTTGAATGAGTGCATTACAGGTACACCTTCCTTGACACCAACATGACAATTGCTTCGTATGCTTTCTGACATTGTTGTATTGGAGGCAGGTGGTTGCCATGGATTTGAGAGAACAGTATGCTAAGCCAGGTGCATATAAGTTATCGATCTTATCTATCTATAACTCTTTTTATGTAAGCATAAAAATCATGATTATATTATTTTTTATATAAAAAAAATTTAATATCAAAAATTAAAATCAAATAATGATAGTTCAGAAAATATATAGGTGTATTGTCTTCAGGTTTCAAAGTCATTCTCAATAATTGATATTTATACTAGAAGTGATTAAGGAAAGATTTTTGTTTATTTATAGGTCAAAATAGAGGATTTAGGATAAGTAATTAAAAGAGTTTTTTAAATCATTTCCTAATAAATATTAGACAAACTTCTGATAATTATAATCAAAATATAATCATATTTATAATATATCTTATCTAATTAGATAATATCATATAATCGAACATTTCAATAAATATAAAAAGAGATTATTGAATGATTTTTTTTATAGTTTGAGAGATTTGATCATAAGATCTTGACATTTTTAATATTTACAGGATAAATTTATTAGCTATTAAATACTTTGACCAGTAATTATTCATCACTCCTTTAAAAAAATTACTATTTGTTTTTTTTATTATTTTTGCCCACGATCTAAACGAGTCAGTTCGAGTTGTCGTAGATTGACTAGGAAACCTCGCTCAACGCGACGGCTGCGCACGTTAGTTGACACCTCCTCTCTATATAAGGGACCCGTTCCCTACGCCTCCGTACCTACTTATATTTCGACGGCCAAAAGCTTTAGAGAAAGAGGAGAGAGAGAGAGAGGAGAAGCGAGCGGAGGGAGTCGAAAGGGATGGCGGAGAGTCGGAGCTCGCTTGAATCGATCAGGAGTTGGGTTGTGGAGCACAAGCTTCGAACCGTCGGTAATCTATTGATCTGTTCAGTTTCTCTTCTTATTAAGATTCGAGAGACCTGATCGCTGAAAAGGGGTCTGATCGATTCGGCTTATTCGTTGCTCGCGTCGGTGTTTTTGTGGGTGAACAGGGTGCCTTTGGCTTAGCGGGATCGGGAGTTCGATCGCCTACAACTGGTCTCGCCCTAACATGAAAACCAGCGTCAAGATCATCCACGCGAGGTTTGTTTTGGCTCATCTGTTCTTTCCTAGGCGAAGATTTCCTCTTGTTTGTTTAATTTTTTTCGAAAAAGGTTATCTTGTGCTTCTTGATTTTATCTTTTTCATCTAATTGCTGCGATGATTTCAGGCTTTAAGAATTAGGGTTTCTTATGTTCTGTTACCATTCACATGGCATTTGCCCTTAGAAGTGATTCTCATTGTTTCTTTTGGGGGGTGCTTGTGGATCGTGGTTGAGATGATTGAAGGGTTAATTTTCCCTGTTATTTTGCCGGCGTGGAGACAGACAGTTGTGGGTAGTCGACGGATGATATCCTTATTGATGCGTACTTGCTGAAGAACATGTGATTGTTTCCACCGCCATGGGACTTTGATGACACCCGAGATTGCTGTTTAACCCTAGTTCTAATTGATTCTTGGATATTATAAGGGCGCTGGCTTAAATTTTAAGTACCATTAATCATGGGCTACTGGATATGAAGTTGATGAGTGTGCTCATCACATCTAACGTTTCTCAGATACCAATCAATGGATGGAAAGTACATCCATTATTCATTAGTTGGGCCTTGACAGTGCTCAATGTTTTACTTGTTCCTGTACATATTCATATTGCTATGGTTGTTGTGGTTAGGAAGCTTAATGTAGGTTATGTAAGGTCTTCCAGAGTTTAGCCATGCTTATAGATAGGTTCACCTTCATAGAAAATCAATTTCTAGGAGTTGACCGGATCATCAGTATATATGAAACTTTGAGTTCAGCAGAGGTTTTCCATGTTTGCACAATTGTTAATAATTCTCTACAAGTATGATTTCTACTTATTCAGAACAAACTCAAGTCTTTGTCCAGTTTTTGATGTCTAAGCAAATGAGGGTCATAATTTCTGTTCAGGTAGCTTTTTTTTAAACTTGAAAGATTATAAGTAACATGCACAGGTTTTTTAACAGGCTGATGTTTCACCTGTTGCCGGATGGTTGGAACAAATAAAATACATAAATGCAGCTCAATAGTCAGCTAAGACATTAATTTGCTTTAGTTGGTTAGTAAACGCAGATTTCATAATAACATCTTCCTTTAAATTTTGTGAATAGTATCTCATACAGTAAGTTCATGAAATGAATTGAGTGCACTGAGAAACAAAACTTTATATCCATGTCCACCATGATAGCTTTGCATAAGTTAATAGTATATATGTAGACATCATACCTACATAAAGATAGTCTTTGATGGAAACATCTTTACGGAGCTTGTAATTGTATGCTGCTCAGTCAGGTTTCAGGTTTCAGGAATGGATACACCTATGCAGATATTCTGCTTATAAGATTTTGGGGTCTAACTTTTATAAAGGCTAACAAGCTGGTGATTCAAGATTCTTGTTCTTTTAAGCCTGAACTATTCAGGCCAATTACACATCAAGTTAGCTAGTTATTGGGCCTATTGTCATCCTTTATGATGAAAGTTTTAGACATTTACAGGTGTTGTTTGTTGTCATTTTGAAGTCTTTATGTGACTTATGAGTACTTTAATAGCTCAAAACCTGGAAATAGGAGTTCCATTGTTTCTCTATTGAAACAAGCTTTTCTTTTATGTGTGTTTATCACAAGATACCTTATATCTTTAGGACACAATAGACTAAAGAAGAACAACAGAAAATGGAAAACAGTAGTCAACAGAAGATATCAGAAAAGAAGAGAGAATAAGATATGTGGATTGTACATGAAAAAGTGTATGTTCCAAAGCCACGTTCTTCATATGTTGGTAACTCTGTTTGTATAATCTCAACCCAACTTTGTTAAAGATCAAGCTAGCTGTATTTATAAGAACTACCGAACAGGTGAATGACTGAAGAAATGGTGCTGAATAGTACTTCATGGTTTGCACATCACTCTTGTTCAGATTGACCATGCCAATACATAAATTCTTGGCCCGATAATTGATACTTATAAACAGATTCAAGGACCTATTGTATACTTCTTGTTTAAATGTTCATATATTTCTGTAAGACCCTCAAGCGTAAGTATGTAGATCCAATGCCAGGAAGATGCTACCTTTCCAAGAGAGGGTATGTGTGGCATAAAGTATGACACTCTGGTTTTTTTCCAAAGAGAATGAAAGGAAACAAAATTTATAAGGGAAGATCTTCCTTTTACTGTTTGGTTTGTCAGACAAAATTATGAAAGAAAATATTTTAGAAGAATATAATTGTGTAGGAATTCTCTGATTACCCAAAATAATTTCTTCCAAAAAGGGGCTATTTTTTAAAGAAATTTTGTACCTGTTGATTTTTCACTTTAAGTGTTGTTGATGACAATAGTTGATATTGGGGTCAAAGTTATTGTATTACATGCCATTTGATGCTATAAACCAGATGTTTATCAAACTTGCCCAAAAGCGTACTGGATTTGGATAATTATCAAACACTGATTTTATGTGCTTTAATAAGCATTTAGCTCACTAATTCCAAATATGTTATGGAGTGTAAGATCAACAAAAGTGTACATAGCATGAACATTTTATAATCTACCCAATTTTCAGTTTACTATTATGGTTGTGTACTGAAGGACTTCATCATTGAATCTTCTATCCATAGGAAAGTTCCAATAGAGCTTTTGTGCCCTGCTTTTGTTTTTCATTTTGTGACAAGGTTGAATGTGAAATATGATGATTGATTGTGTGGATTTCAACTTGTTTTGCTTCTTGTCTTTTTGGTTTTATGTGTTTGGATTTTAACCTTTTGTGACAAGGTTGAATGTGAAATATGATGATTGATTGTGTGGATTTCAACTTGTTTTGCTTCTTGTCTTTTTGGTTTTGTGTGTTTGGATTTTAACCTATTATTTTGCTCCTTATCTTTTTTATTTCACTTCTAGTTTTGAAAACATATGCGAATTGGTGAGTACGTACAACAACAAGCTGTAATGCCCCCACATATGTTATCGGCCCTTTATCTCTTCTCACACCACTAATCATGACCGATTCACTTTGTCTAACCATGATATATAGTTCTGAACATATTTAAGAGGTCCTACACATGATAAGATCAGCAATTTCATATGTTGAGTGATACGCATATTGTGCATTTCGCCTTTCTTTTTGACTTGTCGAAATTTCTGTATCATTTTCTGCTCATGTCATGTCATATTGTATCATCTTGATTTTTCCCTTAGCCTACTGGTTAGGTTACACCTAATTATTCATGTACAAAAGGGTTTCTTAATTTTATTTTTCTTGTTACCACCACATATAAGGGGCACCAACCATCAGACAAAATCTGACCCTCTCCACTTTTAACCTTCTAGTATTACCCTATGGCCAATGTCTTAATTAATCTTTCCTTCCTGTTAAATAATAGATCGAGATACCTAGAACTTCTACTTACAGTAACTTCTATTTGCAAGTTAGTGATTGTTTGTGAGTCAAAAATTATACTGTAGCTATTGTTAACATGCATACTGTAACTTTTTTCAAGTGATACCAGGATACCAAGATTTTAATATTTGAATCCACCAATTTTTGGTAGAATGATAAAGTCTATCATGGATGTGAACTGATCTTTTAATGGCTACCCTTATGAGCAATTTGTTTTTTGGTTTTCTCTTCTCTTTGTAACTTTAAAAGCATTAAACATAGGATTTGATTTCCTTATTGTTGATTGTTCTTTATAAATCAATATTTCATGACATCGTACCATTTTTGGAGTTGTCTAGAACATGTTATCATTCATTGTATCTACATTTTTCATGAGGGTTTGGCCAGAAGCTTTGACCTTTTCCGCATAGGCTTATAATTTTTCAAATGTATTTGAAGGGTTGACATGGAGTTCTTTGTTTTTTCATATATCTTGCAGGTTGCATGCACAGGCTCTTACACTAGCTGCCTTAGCTGGAGCTGCAGTGGTTGAATACTATGATCAGCAGTCAAAACCACGATCAGATGTGGACAAATATCCGAATCAATTTATCGCACATCCGCAAAAAGATTAAAGAATCTAGTGCACATGGTTTTGAACTTGATTCTGCACCATTGGATACTGGCAATAAACTCTCAGATCACTTGATTTTTTTAGAGCATTATATGCAAACATTTGCACTAAAAAGCCTTTTTCTATAGAGGTAGAGTTTAAATTCTGTCATTGCCAAAATCATTTGAGGGCATTGGCATTTTGATGATGATGTTTACACTGGTATTCCGGTATGGAATCGGTATCTTATGCATCCAGTGAAAACAAACCACTTTGTGTTATTAGTTCCGTTGATTATCATATCCTAGTTTGTGTGGTGCTTTCTGGAGATGTTTTATGTCTTAACCATTGTTGATTATTTGCCTTTGTGGATTCTCATGACCTGTGTGCCACATGCCCTGCAATAAACGGTCATATAATCTAGTGTGTGTGTGAGGCTCACCATCGCAACAGTGGAACTCGTCTAATAGACTTGTGGCATTTGATGTTGATTGTGTCTAAAGGTATATTTTCTGGCATGATGTTGTTTTCCTAAATGATGATTGCTAAATGAAGAATAACTTCCTGAGTCTGTGAATTATATGCTGCAAAGTAATATGAAATCATGAAATTGCTTGGTTTGAGAAATTGAGGGCCATTGGGGGACAGCAATGGGGAATGAATTCATGCAATTGTTAGTCTAGTGAAATGTAGAGCCTGTTGTAGACAGTAATTGCGATAGTCTCGAGTGCAGAAATCACATAAATTCTCATTTCCTAGTTTAGACTTTGCCTCTGATACTACTGTTAATAATATCTTTCTGTACTCTACAATGTTATATTGCAGCCCTTCATTACCATTATCTTTGTTGCCGGCAGGTATCCATTGGTTGTGTATATAATTGAGAACATGATGACACTGTTCTGAGATCATTGCAATGACCTTAGAGATTGGCTACCATTATCTTTGTGTCGTGGGTTAGTTAGTATATATATATATATATACTCGAGGTTTCTCTGTGTTAAAAATATTATACTTCGAACTAGGGTTAGAGAGGTCTCTCGATTCGATCTCTCTCGTTCTAAATGTATTTGAATAGTTTTAAAAAGGAGACTTTTTACACAATCAATCAAAAACGAATCTTAAGATAGAGTCATAGAATAACAATAAGCATTGAATTATTTACTTTAAGATTTTAAAATTTAAGTAAATAATAAAATCATTGGCAAAATTGCAGATATATATATATATATATATATATATATATTCAATTTAGTTATTTTTTACTGTAATTAGTTCTAATTAATTTGGATAGACATTATTATATGAAAAAGGATATCCTCAGTTGTAGGAGTATAAGTCATATCAATAATCATAAGTATAATACTTAAAATATTGATATATTGGTAGTATATTAGACTCATGGATAGGGTTGAGAGCTTGAGATCTCATCCTAAAATTTTTAAGATACTAGTATTTTAGATTGTAAAGATCTTATCAAAGCACTGTTAGAACACCGCTAAGTTTTTGGGTCTTTTTTTTCTTTTAATAAAACGTATGAATGTAATTGTGTTATTTTTAAAAGTTGTAACGATAAGTATGTAAAAGCGACAAAAAGAATATTGTATCCAAGAAGAACAATGACAAGCACGTGCATAACACGTGCATTGCCTACACTATCAACAAAGCCCAGTAGCGGCCCATCCTCGGAAGTCAAGCCCAATCCTGCCCAATTAAATGATACAACGATGATGCAGTTAATTTCATTAAGAGCTCCTCTCGACGGCTTCACAGTCTTCTTGCCCCCTTCTACCTCCTCCTCGAACTCTTCCACTTCCTCTCCCTCAAGTTATTTCGTTTCCCTTTTGGTTCTTGGTCCTCGAAGGAGATCCGAGGAACGTCGAGGGTACCGATCCAACTCTTGTATCGCTCGACAAGGGGGATGCTGGTTCTGGTTCCCGTCGCGGATCTCACCTTCGGGAAGACGGACAAGGGGTTATCGAGGTTCTCTCTCGTTTCCTTCTCTTCGATTCTTGCACTTTCTTCTTCCCTCTTGATCTTGCCCTCTCTCCTCGATCCGCGCGGCTGGTTCTTGGATCAGAGATGGATCTTTTTCCAGATCGGTGGAGAACCTAGAACCCGAGGATGCTTTCGTTTTGTTCAATAAAGGATCTCGACACGACGTAGCGGCAAATCTCTATGGGACGTGCCCTTTCTTCATGCTTCTGGGCTGTCTAGATCGCGCATTGTGTAACGGTGATCCCCGAACGTGATTTTGGCGTTTCTTGGTGTAGTTTCTTCCTGGAGTTGGCCCCTTTTTCGTCATCGATTCGTTCTCTAAGTTTTGACTTCCATGACTGAGATATTGCCGGAGTCAGATCACTGTGTGTGTTTATGGTTTTTCGCTCTTTCTTCACTGTTCTTTAGGTTGCTAACCTTGCGTTCTTCATTGGTAATCCGATCTTTATAGGTCTGATGCAAAAATTTTATTCATTGCCGTTTCTTTCGTTGTAATATGTGCGCTTTGCATCGGACGGTTCGTAATGCCATTCATATTGTCTGATTTGTCTAGTTTGCGCTGACCTTTAAATCGGCGTGCTTGTTTCTACTAGGGTTTGAAATGCGAGCTATGCTTTAAGATGTGCCACAAGAGCAAGATCAAGTTGGCCGCTCTCGTGGGAATCACCTTATCCGTCTTATCTTTGTTTGTGCACCTCTTTGTTGCAAATTATTCAGTGGGGGACTTTATACAATACAAGTTGCGAGAGGACTACCTGTATCCAGTGGGACATGTACGTCAATCTATAGCCATCAGCATGCTTTTTTTTCCCACTTTTTGATTGATGATCATGCAAAATTTGGTATTGTTTTTCTTGAAACCGCCATTTGATTTGATACTTTGCCTTAAGATTTACTTCAGTGAAAAAAGCACCATTGTTTTAGTTGTCTAAAGTTGTTTTATCATTGTATTTGTGATGCTCTTTCAGAAACTTCGACATCGAAGGTTATGGGGTCCAGTGAGCTCATTGGAGGTCTTGCAACCATATGCTAAGCCCAGGAGTTTCTATCCTGGTATCACTTGTTTTATAATGTTTGACGTATTTATCTAGTAACATTTTATAACAACCCCTTTCTTAGGATTTGAAAACCATGACTAGAGGATATTTTTTCAATGGCACCATTTCTTTTTCTAGAGTTGTTAAGTTATGTCCCACATGACAAATATACTTATTTAATAGCATTAACTGTAGAGATCTGTAGTTGCAGGTTTACAATGATAATTTGGCCAAAACAGCAAAAGTAAACATCATTTTAGCAAGTAAAAGAAATTTATTTTTAAATTATTTGAAAAAAGTTAGTTGACTTCTAAGTGATTCATTCGAAGGTTGTTCTATCTAATTGGATTGGGGCGCCTTTCAAGGTTTGATGGAAGCTGTATGATGAGAAAACTTCTGCCTTCTAAACCTGACAGTGTGGATTACTATAAATGCAGCAATTTTCTTATCTTTTTGGTATTTCTCTTTTTTCTACTTTCTACGAGGTTTTTTATTTTTTCATATTTATCTCACAGTGCCAGGTCAGCAGAATGGTTTTATTTATGCAAAGATCTCCGGTGGTTTTGAGAAGATAAGATCATCAGTATGTTCTTCTTTCTCCTATAGCACACATCCACTGAATTAAGATCTCATCGTTATAAATACTACTTACCATATGTCTTGGCAAGTATTATGCCTTTTCTGCTGCCCATTATTTCATATGAACAGACTTGACATGGCTTGTGGCTGTTTTTCATGCCTTTCAGTATATGCTAGCATGAGATGGTGTGGTTAGCACATTCATATATATTTTCGTCTTGCAGATATGCGACCTTGTTGCTATTGCTAGGCTCTTAAATGCCACACTTGTTATTCCTGAGATCCAACAAAGTGTTCGGTCAAAAGGCATCAGGTCTCTCTAATGATGCTTTATATGCATTTGTTTGGACACTGATGTCATTTTTTTCTAAATATTTATCTGCTAATCACCTTTTTTTTCTGTCCACCAGTCCAAAATTTAGGAGTTTCTCTTATCTCTATGACGAAGAGCAGTTCATAGCATCACTTTCAGATGACGTTATTGTTGTAAAGAGCTTGCCTAAAGATCTGAAGGAGGCTAGGAAAAAGACAAAATTTCCTACAGTATCACCCAAAGCCTCAACTTCCCCAAGCTTTTATACCAGAGAAGTCTTACCTAAACTTAAACAATCAAAGGTTATTAGGATATTAGTTTCTGATGGAGGATGCCTTCAGGTATGACTCTAGTTGCATATTTAGATTTTTTGTATATTATTCTAAAATGAGAATGGTTTTTCTCTCCATCAAAAAACCTAGTATTACATAATGGAAATGAGTTGTAAAATTAGACATGTATTCTGGATGTCAGTTTTTTCAACAGTTAAAGAAACAATGTTTTCTTAATTTTTAAAGATGAAGAGGCACATACAAACACTGCTTGAGCACCATTCACCCCCATTTGGCACAAATAATAGAAACTTTCTAGTAGAAGCTTATATGAGTTACTCAAGGGAGATTACCATCCAACAAATAATACATGCATGGCATTGTTGAATTCTCTGAGAGCTTTTAGTTTTATTTAATCAGACAGCCTTTTAATATTGATAATTGGTTATCTATGTAACTGTTGTACTCCATAACACTTAATGCATGCATCAATTAGAAGATCACATAGTAGCTATTGAGCTGATACTACCCTTTCAAGAATTGATCTCCAGTTCTTGGAGGGAGCAATTTCAGACAAACTGCCATGAAAGCAAAGTAAGATAAAGAAGTCACATCACTATGTTGTAACCTGATTTACTGCAATCAGGTAACAGCGTCATAGAATTTTATGCTTGATATTAGAAGCATATAGAAGCAAGATATTTGAATGAAACATCAGTCAGGGAACTATGGTTATGACATGCATCAACTGAGTTGGAGATGCACTCTACACTGATCCTCAAGACGAATTATTAAGAAAGGTTTGTATTTCTCAAGGTTTTTTTGAACATTGCACATGTATCTTACTAGAAGGCAAAGTGTTAAGGGCTGCACTCTTTGCACTCGAAGTCGAAGCCAATTTGGATGACAAGCAATGTACTCATTGGGGAGGTTTTGCTATGGTGTTGTATGCAAGGTTTCATCTGAGTGCTTTGAATTATGAGTTCAAACGAAGGTTCTTAACTTTTAACAGAAAACAATGAAGGGTCCATGTGGAATTTTGGCAGTAGAAGTGAAATCTTATTAGAGGAGTGCTTTATATCTAAGTGTGAGTGTATAATGCTATGCACTGTATGTCACAAAGGACCTGACCTATTGTGACCTGCATCACAGGTTAGGTGGAGGCTCCCAAAACTGGCTTGTTAACACTATTTGATAAGTCATTCAGTTCCACTGACTCTTAAACTAATATGAGCAAAACAAATGATGTGATAAAGGTTGTTGGCAATTAAGAGTGAGAATTATCAGTTATGGAGCAGACAGCTTGTAATGATCGGAGAAATTTCATTCTCTGGTTTGTTAGCTTTTTTCCTTCCTTGTGCAGTAGATATCATATTAAATGTTTTTGCTAAAGAGAATTATTTACCTGAAGGTGCTTGTGGTGCTTCTGATACAAAATAAGAAAAGATTGTAACTTAACATGTCTCAATAACTAGATCTCTTACATGTAGCTAATATGTCTATTGGAGTCTTGATGCATGTATACATAACATAGGCGATAAGGAACCCACTGTGGTTGATGACATGTTTAACAAGTCTCTCTAGGCACTATATAAGAGACTTCTAATACCTGAAATATGATAACATTGGGAACCTGGTGGGAATATAAAAGGAATCTTGATGGCTATGGCTGGCTGTCTGTAAACAAATGCCAGTCAACTTTGCAGAAGTTTTCTACAGAAAAGAAATGAACAGATAATAAAGAGTATCTTACCAGATACAACTAGCAACATCAGCACCAGCAGAAATGGAACCATAAGTCTGTCAGTCGGAGTAGGCAACATGGGTGTCTTCCAACCTTCTAAACATATAATCACACATTTTTTTCTGTCAATTTTGGCCCATTATTCCTCTTTCATTGTTGCTGTCCAGGTTTTGGCTTATGTCTACTTGTGTCAGCTCTTATAATGATTAACTAATTTAACTTGTAAGTTAACTATTTGAAATTGAAGCTATTACCCAGAAGAGATTATGTGGAACTCTGAAAGTAAATTGTTTTCTGTGACTCCCTTATGAAGAAATACATATGCTGCTTATTCCATGGTTCCTGCATGTTTTCCTGGAGTCACTAGATCCAAGAATGGCAAAGGAATTTGCTTGCATATTCTACCTCTTTTCTTTCTTTGTGAACTCTATGACTTGCTTTTGCCTTTAATCATCCTTGTATTAAGGAATTAAATATAGGAGTGATATTCTTGAAAGGACTTGTATTTTGTCTATTGAAATGTGTCTGATAGTTTTGGTGGAGGTATGCAATGATTGTCTAGGAGAAATGAAATGACTGGGCACTTAAGACAACTTAGGATGACACTTCTACTCAAGTACTTGGGCCTGTATGAAAAATCTCATCAGTACCTTATAATTCTTTTCAGTTCTCTTATCTATTCTTGCTTATGTAGCCTATCCTTCCATCAAACATGGACGAATATCAGAGACTTAGATGCAGAGTTGCCTTCCATGCTCTTCAATTCCGCTCAGATATCCGGGCACTTGGCAACCAAATGGTAGAAAGGTATCACTTTTTAGTTAAGTCATTAAGTACATGAACTAATTAAACCTTGATTCCCCAAGAGAAAATACTTCTCTGATGTGTACATATAAGAAATTAGTTAGTTTATCTGTAAGTTTGACTATGAACTGATGCTTGTATTCCACCCTCAAACTTTGGATCAGATTTATTCCTCACTGACCAATTTAAGTTTGAATACTATGTTTAATATCAAATTGAATGTCATTGCAGGTTACGAGGAACTGGTGGTCCATATCTGTCGTATCACCCTGGCTTTGTGAGGGACACCCTAGCATTTCATGGTTGTGCTGAACTTTTCCAGGTTGGTCAGAATTGTCAGTACCTTTTCAGTGCTATTGGTAATATGTGGTTTTGTGCCTTTGTATCTCATGCATCATTTAACTCATTACTCTGCTTTTAGACTTGCTGGTTTCTCGTACGTTTTATATTACCTCATGCTTTGCTTGACCAGAGTGCTTCTTAACACTGGCTAGGATGTTCATACGGAGCTTATGCAATACACAAGGAAGCAGCTGATAAAGCAGGGAACAGTTGACGAAGATCTTGTTGTTGATTCATTTGCTCGAAAAACGAATGGTTCATGCCCTCTCATCCCTGAAGAGGTGACTTAGTTCATTCATTCACATAATTATATTATATTGTTTAGATGATGCCAAGAAATGGTGTTTCTTCTGGAGGCTAGAAATATATTTCTTCCCAATCTTCTAAATGTTTTGTGGTTAGGTATTTTTATCCTATCATTCTCTATGTTTATTACAAAAAGCTGAAAGGCAGTCGTTGGAGCGACAAGCCTTTAGTTCTTGCACTTGCAATCATTCTTCAACAGTTTTTGTTGTCTTGTCGTTCACATATTTGGTTGTCTATCTCTTATCTTAGTTGTGGTGAAGTTCAAGCTTCCCAGCCATTGCTTAAAGAACATTCTTCAAGAATATCCCCAGGAAATTGACATAAAGTAGATATGAGATGTCTATAAGGTTGTCTTAGAAAGTATAATCACTGCAAGCAAGAGTCCTTCCTTTCATTGAATACTTTGCCATTTTCATCATTGTGTTTTTATGTGTTCTTGTGTTGTGATGCCTGAGTTTGAATCAACTAACAGCTTCGTAGCACACTAAGTAGTCTTTACTTACCCTGCCCGACTTGTCATAAATGTTTCCTTCACCTTATCCTCAGTTGGCATTACATCCATCTTATCTAGATGGAGTCATTTTGGGTTTTTCTTTTTTTACTTGTCAGAGAACAGTGTCTGTATAATGTAGTAGTAATTGTAGAGCACTTACCGAACAACAAAATTGCTATGATGGTAATAGGATCATGTTCCTTCTAAGGTATTGGTTTTAGATTAACTTTGAACTTGTAAATGCCACTAGTGTTTGTTATAAGAAGTTGTAACCTTCTTCATAACACTTTAGTTTATCATACATTGGAAGTGGGAGGAAGATTGAATTGATTTATAAGGTTAGATGAGCCTACTACTATTAACTTGGGTGTAGGCATTTTGGTAAGTTGGTCTCAGTCTCTCAGACATATCAGGTTAATGAGCTAATTTTTTTCCATTGTGTCGGACTGCGACAATTGGTATCAAAGTGGATCCACTATTAGACATGGTGGGGAGTTCCAAGTAGAAAGCTAGAGGCATTCGCATGCAACCAATTTGATATGATTTTTGGATTATGTGTTGGACCTTGGACTTTGATGATGACATCAAGTCTTCAGTAGGAAAATTTTGTGATTCCAACTTTAGAAGTGGGAGGAAAATTAAGTTGATTTATAAAGTTTGATGGGCTCACTATCATTCGTTTGGATTGGTTTTAGGTCAATAAAGTTAATTTGTTGCTTCTGTTTGGGTCGAATAGGAGCATTTTTACAAAGTCCTCATGTTATTAGTGGGTCCAATCAAGTTGCTCAAAGCCTCAAATATTGAACATAAACTACTTATAACCATGTCTACTTATTGTTCTAGTCTTCAATATTCCGTGTGCTTTCTTGTTGTTATGAGTTAGTTTTAACATATTCAAATATCTGCACCAAAATTGGTTGAATCTTTGCAGGTTGGACTTCTCCTTCGGGCAATGGGATATCCACCAAATACCATAATTTACTTGGCTGGTTCTGAGACATTTGGAGGACAGAGGATCCTAGTTCCTTTGCGAGCCATGTATACAAACTTAGTAGATCGTACTTCCTTGTGCACTAAGAAAGAGCTTTCAAACTTGATTGGTCCTGAATATCCTCTTCCTTTAAATCTCCCTCAACCTCCTCCTGTGAAGAGTGAAAAACAACTTATTGAGGAGTGGAAAAAAGCTGGGCCTCGACCACGACCCCTTCCACCACCTCCTGCAAGGCCCTTTTATCAGCATGAGAAGGAAGGTTGGTATGGTTGGATTGCTGAGACTGATACAGAGCCTGACCCTTCATCTGTGGATCTTAGGAAACAAGCACACAGGCTACTCTGGGATGCTCTTGACTATTATGTTTCTGTTGAAGCTGATGCTTTTTTTCCTGGTTTTAACAATGATGGTAGTGCGTGGCCTGATTTTTCAAGCTTGGTCATGGGTCACCGCTCTTACCAAACAGCCTCTGGAGTAACCTATCGCCCCAACAGGTAAAAGCCCTCATATTAGTTTGTTACATCTTGAGAAATGAAAAACAATTATTCTGTTGCAAGCTGCATCTTTGTGTTCATCTGTTCTCAGTGATGCATTGTTTTTATCTTCTTTCTTTCATCAGATCCTGGCAATATCCTGCTGACTATCTTCGATAAATTTAATATGTGGTTCCAAAGAAAAATAAATCTTTGCAGCAATTACACTTTTAAGTGATGCTGGGTTTCTCTTGTACTTTTTATTACAGCAGAATTTTCATTAGGTAGAAGAGAACCTGCAGACCGACTTGAAGAAAAAGATCCTTATTAGTTATCGTATGCAATCAAATATTCTCTTAGGGAAAATAAAATCAAGCTAATTTGAAACTGATTCCACCCATTGGGCTGTCCTTCTCTAGTAATGCCCCTTTGTTTGACCAAAACTTTGATTTAAGGGCAACTAAGTTAGGGGCTGAATACATGAGATCCAATTTTAGTAATATTAGGAAATGATATGAGGATATAGTTACGAGGTTTGTGTGATTGTCAAGTATCATTTAGACCAGAAGCAAAATTTTATGAGTTATTTATGAGAGCAACAATACTTTATGGATCTAATTGTCGAGCATTTAAGAAGCAACATATACAAGAAGTTTATATTAGTAGTATGAAAATGTTGATGTAGATATATGAAATTAGTAGGAAAGATTAAAAAAAATATTTTTATTCATAAATAATTTAGGAGAGAGAATTGCTTAAAATAATATGAACATGTAGTAAGCACACCTATGCTATAATAAGAAGAGATAGATAGAGAGTTGATAAGATTTTACAAAAAATTATAAATAAAGATTTAAATACTCTTAACTAAGGATATAGATTTACAGTTTTTAATGATGGTGAAAGATCGGTTCCGTTCTTGTTTTGTAAATTTAAATTTATTTAAATTTATATCAACATCTTTAATTGCTGCAGCACACATGTTCTGGCCTTTCCTCTGGTGAATAATTATCTCCCAGTCCCTCTAGTCTCTGATAGTCCAAAGTCCTAATATAGGTCAAATATATTGAGTGGTGCATATTATCAAACGAGCCGACACCCTGATTGGCTGCGAAGTAAATAAGCCAATTCAATCACTTTAATTTCTTTGAGGCTATTTCACCAAGATTGGGGCTATGCAAGTTGTTTTCCTATCAAAATTTAAATCGATGATTATTTGGACAAATGATTGAAAAGTTTTTACCTAGCTTCTACACCATAAAAGAAGCTCAACATATTTGTAGTCAAGGAGTACCATACCGGCACTCAGTATAGGCTGGTAGTGTTGGTATGGGTTGCTACTGGCCGGACTGGCCGGTTCTTGTTTTGGATTGATCCAAACCTTGTTAAAGCATTTTCCCTTGACTTTCTTTCCTCTAAAAAATAATTATGATAAATTTGACAACATGAGCTTTACCTTAGGTGGTATGACTAGATGCATGCTTCTTTGTCCACTGTTGACCTCTCTATGTCACAAGAACGTAAGATTCATATCCACCATCATTACTACTGTCAATGTCGTTGAAATCATTTGGACATTCTGGAGACCAGAGATAATGGAAGAATAAGTCATGTCATTCGTTTCAGGCATCGAAACTAAGCAAAAAACTTCGACTTAGATCTGGATATTGAACTGTACACCAGTCACAGTTGCTTATATACCTGGGCATAATTTCTTATATACCATCACAATTGGATCGATAAATACCAGTTGGTATGAGCCAATCGCATCAGTTTTTTGAGCCGCAATTATAGTAATATTTAGAGTTTATGCTGTGAGGGTAACAATCTGAAAGTCCTCTGAGTTATTGAACACTGCTGTACAAATTTCAGGAGAGGGCAGGTGGGATACAGCAAAGAATTATCAGGATTTTTATAAAAGAAACTGGCATGTTTTTGGGGTAGAACTCTCCCTTGATCATATGCTTTTTTCGTGATACCACAAATTTTAATTAATTACTCTAGCTCCATGTTTGATGAAATATTTATACTTCCTAGACTTGGAGCAGTTTGTTTTTTGTTTATTTAAAGTAATGGGCTTCTGAAGTAATTAAATTTTGCTTACCTTGCAGAATTTCCTACATCGATTATTATTTTTTATGCTTGAGTTGAATAATTTTTGTAAAGGCCCAAAAAATGTGGATTGTGATAATTCCTTTGCTTATATGTGCTAGAAGAGCTTTGTTTATATGCTATAACAACCTCTTGAATGAGTAAGTTCAACCAATTGGTTTATGACACTTCTTAGAAATTCAGTCTGTCACAGGCAACAGGCAAAATGGGTGCGGGCTATTCATTTTAGAAGATTTTATGTTTATAAATTGATACAACTGCATTTGTTCCCTGACCACAATGTGACTGCTGAGTTTTTCTTCCACCAGAAAAACACTTGTCGGGCTGCTCATCTCTATACATGATAACCTATATCATCCAACACATAATTGGACAGTACTGGTGCGGGATCATCTTAACAAGAGCTTGGGTGTGGACGGATTCATAGCAGAGGCTGAATCATCGAAACCTGCTTCTTTCCTTTCCCATCCTTTTCCAGAATGTTCGTGCCGTACTTCAAAATCTTCAGACACTCCTGGTCATGTGATGAGCCGCAGCGGCAAATTGTTATATGGGAATGAGGAAGAATGTCCTGAGTGGATGGTTCATGGCCTAGCAATGGCTTCCCAGAAGGCCACTGGTGCCAAAGATGAGGATGTTGAGGAGGGCGAGTTGCTGGAAGATGACAACGAAACAGATGGACAGTCGGACCCTGATAATGGAAACCGAAGTGACACAAATAGATCCATGGAGCAAGATGAAGAAATGGATCCAGATGATTAAATGCAAAAAAGATACATAGAGAACTGGAAGATGCATGTCAAGATTGTAAAGATCTAACCAAATCTGCAAGCACTGTGAGTATATTTTTTCTATTCCGTAAGCAGATTGATGAGGACCAATGCTTAGCTGCAGTTAAGCGGAAGCAGATCGAGGGGGACAAATGCCTAGCTGCAGTCAAAGTGGTTGTTGTTGGTTCTTCTTATACAAATTTCAGTGAGGAAGTCAGCCTTAGCATTCTTTTTCTCCTGCCCTGTTTTAAAATCCTTCCTTCCAAGTTAATCTGTACATTTTAATGTGTATTTTTTTCAGACACATTATTCGTTAGTACGGGGAGGAGTATAAAATTTCTCGAACCCATCAAAATGATCAGAGATATTGACTGGCTGATTTTTTGGACCTTTAAATTCTGATGCTGCTTGTTTAACCACCATTGCAGAAAACCAAGCTGATGCTCTCAAGTGCTGATCTCCATTCCAAGTGTTGTTAGTATATATACCAATTTGTGAAGTCAGATAAGGATATTGCACACAACTATATATATAGCAAGATCAAAATGGTTAACATAAAAAAAAATATTATTATTTTTTGCATAAGGTGAATGAGTCATACACGATCAAATTAATATTTTAGATGTAGTTGAAAATGAATTGTCCTCCCCAATTTGCCAAGGGATTCATTCATGCATCGAGATCTCGCAAGCATACAGATGTCGCTGTGCAAAGAGTAACCAGTCGATATAACTGGGTGAGACCAACCCGCTGCCAGCGCCGGTAACAGTCGGCTTGGATTGGGCCCAATAATTATGGCCTGACTCGAGTTGGACTGCGTCTGCATGTATGCTGCTTCCCAACCCGTCCTACGCTTCTTCTCTTCCATGGGGTTGTGATGAAGCTTTGCCGCCTCCCCCTTCCCACCTCTTTGCCCTTCAAGCCCTTCCACACCGCCGCCGTATCCATCCTCGAAGACCATCTCACTCCCGCCTCCGCCGCCAATCTCTCTTCCCACCTCTCCCCTCCACCGGAATCCCCGGCCTCCTCTGTCTCCAATCTCACAACCCTCATCTCCGCCACCCAGTCCGTCGGCGGAGCCGCTCAGATCCACGCCCACCTCGCCAAGTGCGGCCTTTCATTCGGCCCTCCTTTCCGCCACCACCTCCTCACCCTGTACTCCAGATGCCGCTCCCCCGAATCCGCCCGCAAGCTCTTCGACGAATTCCCCGACCCGGACCACATCTCCTGGTCCGCCCTCATCTCCGCGTACTCCAACAACGGCCTCGGCCGCGAGGCGCTGTTGTCCTTCAGAAAGATGCGATGTTTGGGCGTTCGGAGCAACGAGTTCACACTTCCGTCCGTCCTCAAGGCCTGCTCTGTCTCCTCCGACTTCATCGCTGGCACACTAGTCCACGCCTTCGTCATAGTCACCGGGTTCGAGTCCGACGTCTTCGTTGCGAACACCCTCGTTGTCATGTACGCCAATTTCGGCCTCCTCTTAGATTCCAAGAGATTGTTCGACGGCATTACTGACCGCAATTCTGTCTCGTGGAACGGATTGCTCGCAGGCTGTGTAAGGAATGAGAGGTTCGAGGAGGCAGTGTCATTGTTTCAGGAGATGGTGATGGATGGAATGAGGCCGAATGAGTTTGGCTTCTCCTGCATCCTAAATGCATGCACTGGCTCGCAGGATTTATCCTGCGGGAGGGCAGTTCATGGCTACCTTACCAGGCTTGGATACCACTCGGACCCTTTTACCACCAATGCTCTTGTGGATATGTACGCCAAGTTGGGAAACGCCAAAGCTGCAGCTATGGTTTTTGGAAAAATTGCTCGACCGGATATCGTTTCATGGAACTGTTTTATTGCTGGTTGTGTTCTTCATGGGCATGATAGCCGGGCATTGGCATTGTTGGTGGAGATGAAGGCATCAGGAATGGTTCCAAATGTGTTCACTCTGTCTAGCGTTCTTAAGGCTTGTGCAGGAACAGGGATGCTGGATTTAGGCATGCAGATACATGGTAACTTGATCAAGGCTGGTTCAGATTCTGACTCATTTGTCGGTGTTGGACTTGTTGATATGTATGCAAAATGCAATTGTTTAGATGATGCAATGAAGGCCTTTTACTTGATCCCTGAACAGGACTTAATATCATGGAATGCTTTGATCTCGGGGTGTTCACATAGTGGGAGTGATGATGAAGCCCTCGCCTGCTTCTCTGAGATGAGAAGAGAAGGTCTGAACTTTAACCGAACCACTCTGTCGGCAGTTCTTAAGTCCACAGCAAGCTTGCAGGCAATTACTGTAACCAAGCAGGTGCATGGACTCGCAACAAGAGCAGGGTTTTTGTCAGATCCTCATGTAGTAAATGGTCTCGTTGATGCATATGGGAAATGCAGTTGCCTGGAGGAGGCAGGGAGAGTCTTTGAGGAATGCCAATCTGGTGATGTGGTGGCTTTCACATCTTTGATTACAGCTCACTCCCAGAGTGGGCAAGGGGAGGAAGCTATCAAAGTCTTCTGTGAGATGCTAAATCAGGACCTGAAACCAGATTCATTTGTTTGTAGTAGCCTTCTTAATGCCTGTGCTAGTTTATCTGCCTATGAACAAGGGAAACAGATACATGTACATGTGCTAAAGATGGGGTTTATGTATGATGTGTTTGCTGGGAATGCACTCGTTAACATGTATGCAAAGTGTGGTAGTGTTGAAGATGCCACCTTAGCTTTCTCTGAGATACCAGAGAGGGGGATTGTCTCATGGTCTGCTATGATTGGAGGACTCGCCCAACATGGGCATGGGAAGAAGGCCTTGGATTTATTCTCTAAGATGCTTGATGAGGGTCTATCTCCAAACCACATTACCTTGACTAGTGTTCTTTGTGCTTGTAATCATGCGGGCCTTATTGATGAGGCAAAACAATATTTTGATCTGATGGAAGAGATGTATGGGGTTCAACGAACACAAGAGCATTATGCATGCATGATTGACCTTCTTGGGCGTGCTGGTAGATTAAATGAAGCAATGGAACTCGTGCATCGTATGCCTTTTGAAGCCAATGCTTCAGTATGGGGAGCACTCTTAGGGGCTTCTAGGGTTCATGGAAATATAGAATTGGGTAAACAAGCAGCTGAGATGCTCTTTGCCCTTGAGCCTGAGAAGTCTGGAACACATGTGCTGCTTGCAAACATGTATGCTTCAGCAAGCATGTGGGACAATGTTGCCAAAGTCAGAAGGTTGATGAAAGATAGCAGGGTGAAGAAGGAGCCTGCAATGAGTTGGGTTGAAATGAAAGACAAAATTTATACTTTCATAGTGGGGGATAGAAGTCATGATAGGACAGCTGAGATATATGCTAAGCTAGAAGAGCTTGGGGACCTAATGAGAAAAGCTGGATATGTTCCTATGGTTGAGACTGATCTCCATGATGTGGAACCAGGGGAGAAGGAAGTTCTCCTTTCTCATCACAGTGAGAAGCTTGCTGTTGCATTTGCATTGATCAGTACTCCAGCTGGAGTTCCAATTAGAGTGAAGAAAAATCTTCGAGTGTGTAGAGATTGCCACACAGCATTCAAGTTCATATGCAAGATTGTTTCCACAGAGATAGTACTTAGAGATATCAATCGGTTTCATCATTTCAAGGATGGGGCATGTTCTTGTGGGGATTATTGGTGATTGTGGAGTTGACTGATACTACTTTCCTCAAGTTCAAAGATGTGCTTTCTGGTTAACCAATGCTAGCAGTAAGACAGAGAACATATTGAAGCCAAGGTGGGTTTACCAGTGATATGTTTTATTAGAAGTGTCACCAAAAATTTTAGCTGGTTTATTATAAGAGATTACTTTTTGGTCTTGGCAGATTAGTGAAACATAATTTTTTTGAGGATTTGGGATGTATCTTGCTCAGCTTCTCAGGTTGTATGATCAGATATTTCTTTCTTCTATGAATTAGTTTCTGGATTATCGAAGAACAGTATAATTCCTTATGATATCATCTTTCCCAAATCAGAGTACAGAGATCACAAGGTTTGTTAATTTTGACCTTCCTTGATCTTTGGTTTGCATTTGCCATCTTAAATTGTCTCTTAAAATTCTTCTTTACTATGCTACAATATTGACTTCAGATTACTTGCATCATACTGTTTACTGTTTTATCTGCTTTCTCCTCTGGTTTTCAAATCTCTGGTTAGCACAGTTTTCCATATACCTTTAGTGGTTTATCCTTAAAATGGTTGTATCTAGGAGTGACAAATTGTCGACTGATGCCTTTTTTGTGTTCTCTTTATTAGGTGTTTCCCAAGATTTACTAGAGAGTGCAGTAAAATCACCTAACCCTTATTAGGTTCAATGTTTTGGAATATAGGAGATTTTACAAGACCATAGGATGATGTGTATTATTAAAAGGTAAAAATGACCAAATCTTAAATGATTGTTGGAATAAATTAAGATCATTCCTAATTTGTCTATAATGCTCTATATTTTTTTATTTATTGTGAAGCAAAGTATGTTGCATTTTCATGTTTTAGAATATAGGAGATTTTAAATGACCATAGGCATGATATAAGATTATTTTTTAGATGATCAGAATTAGTCCAAGATTGAACTTGAGTTCTAATTGATATAGCCAAAGGTAGTAATTTTCTTAGTTGAGTTTGCTCTATTGTGAAGTCCATATCAGATCCATCAACCCATCATCTTTGCTCTCCATATTGGTTCCATGAGATCCTTCTGAATCCCCAAGCTTTTCCAGCTTTGATTTATTCCTATTTTCTGGCTTCAAAAGTACTTAAATTTGATGCAACACCTTCTCCTTCCATTGGAGAAAAAAAAAATCTCATTCTTCAGATTTTTGTATTTATTAGAACTAATAAATAAATACATGGATGCAATTGGGGAAAGAGGATTTAAATGATAAACATTTTATTATATTTTTCTCTTGCATATAAATTTTTAAATGACTTTTGTCAATTCTGCTGCTTGATCGGTGCGTCCCGTTCGACGAAAGCATGTATTAAGGCGGCCCCACCCGCGGCGTCTTAAACGCGTCGAGACCCGAGTCATGACTCGGCCCTCGCCCTTCGCCCGCGGGCCTCGGTCGAGCCGGACTCAAAGGGGTGCTTTCGTCATTCCAATAACTCTGTTTCCACTGTTGGGGAAGCAGGCAGAGTCTTCCCGTCTTGTACGCAAGTCGGACGAGCGCATGACTCCTTCCCTCCCTCCCTCTCTATCGAGGGCTAAAAGGAGGGCTGATCGATGCGGCGGAAGGTGGCACCGGATTCATCGGCAATGGCGGCGGTGGGAGGCGGCGAGGGGGCGACGGAGGTGGAGCAGGCGCAGCTGTCCACGGCGATCCGTAACGGAGAGGACCTAGGACCCTTCGTGCGCCGGGCCTTCGCGTCCGGGCGGCCCGAGGCGCTTCTGTCCTCCCTCCATCACTTCGCACGGTCCAAGGAGGTGGAAATCGAGGACGTGTGCAAGGCCCACTACCAGGACTTTATGGGTGCCGTCGACGACCTCCGCTCCCTCCTCTCCGACGTCGACTCCCTCAAGTCTGCCCTCGCCGACTCCACTGCCGCCGTCCAGTCTACCGTCGGCCCCCTACTTGCAGCACTTGACGCCTACCTCGAGGCCCGCTCCGTCGCCGACAACCTCACCGCCGCCATCCGCGCTGCTCGCCTCTGCTCCCGCCTCTTCGCCCTCCTCGCCCGCGCCAACGAGCATCTCGCCGCTGATCGCCTCTACCTCGCGCTCCGCGCCATCGCAGCCGCGGAGCGTGACCTGCTCCCCGCCGCTCCCCACCCCACCATCCGCCGCATGCTCGTCAGCCTCATTCCCGCTGTCCATGCCCACGTCGAGCGGAAGATCTTCGAGGAGTTCTCCGACTGGATGGTCCAGATCCGCGTCGCCAGCCGCCACCTCGGCCAGATCGCCATCGACCGCGCCTCTGCTGCCCGCCAGCGCCAGGCCGAAAAGCAAGGTATTCGCTCCGGCTCCACCATCACTACCTCTATCTTCCGCGACCATCCATACTCCCTCCGCCTCGAGGAGGAGGAGGAGGACGACTGGTCTGGCGACGACTCCGACGACCTCGCCGCGGCCCTCTCTGATGGCGAAGCTTCGATCCTCGATCTCATCCCTCTTTACCGTGCCCACCACATCCACACGACCCTCGGCCTCGAGGAGCGCTTCCGGCGGTACTACTTCGAGAACCGCAAACTGCAACTCACCTCTGACTTCCAGGTCTCCTCCTTGACTCCCTTCCTCGAGTCGCACCAGATCTTCTTCGCACAGATCGTCGGATTCTTCATCGTCGAGGACCGCATCCTCTGCACTGGCGGCGGCCTCATCGCACCGCCCGATGTTGACGCCCTCTGGGAAATCGCCATTACCAAGATGGTGTCAGTGCTCGAGGACCAGTTCTCCCGGATGCAAACGGCTAACCACTTCCTCCTCATCAAGGACTACGTCAGCCTCCTCGGCGTCACACTCCACCGTTACTGTTACTCGGTCGACCCCCTACTTGACGTCCTCTCCAAGCACCGCGACAAATACCATGACCTTCTCCTCTCCGACTGCCGCCGCCAGGTGTCTGAGACCCTTGCCGCCGACAAGTTTGAGCAGATGCTTATGAAAACGGAGTTCGAGTATTCCAAGAACGTGCTCTCCTTTCAGATACAGACATCTGACATCACCCCAGCCTTTCCCTACGTCGCCTCCTTCTCCTCCAGCGTCCCTGACCTCTGCGTCATCTGCCGGTCCTTCATCAAGGACTCGATTAGCTTCATGTCTCACGGTGGGCAGCTTGACATCTACCCTATCGTCAAGAAGTACCTTGAGAGACTCCTGGGTGAGGTCGTTGATGGATCCATTCTACACCACATCGAATCCAGGAGTCTTGGTGTCTCCCAGGCAATGCAGGTGGCTGCCAATATGGTCGTCTTGGAGCAGGCCTGCAACTTCTTGTTTCGCCATGCAGCCCAGCTTTCAGGCATTCCACTGCGCATAGCAGAGAAGGTAAGAAGGGAGTTTCCTTTGAAGAAGTCTCGTATCGCAACAGAGGAGCTCCTTCTGGGGCTGCTAAGGAAGAAGATCAATGATTTCATGATGCTGACAGACAGTATTAGTTGGATGGCGGACAGCCCACCCCCGAGTGGGAATGAGTACTCCAATGAGGTGATAATATTCCTCGAGACATTGGTTTCTACAGCACTGCAGATACTGCCCATCCAAGTCCTTCGACGGATACTTCAGGGTGTCTTGACCTATATATCTAACACTATCATGGGTCTTTTCCTTAGTGACACTGTCAAGAGGTTTAATTTGAATGCAGTGATGGGAATTGATGTTGATCTTAAGAGGTTTGAGTCATTTGCAGATGACCAATCTCGCTTGTTTACTCATTCTGATGATTTCGTTGCTAATGAGTTAAAGCTTGCATTGTTAGAGGCAAGACAGTTGGTTAATCTGCTCATGTGTAACAACCCTGAGAATTTCCTTAACCCAGTGATCACGGAAAGGAGCTACAACAAGCTCAACTACAAGAAGGTGATCACAGTTACTGAGAAGTTCAGGGAATCATCAGATCGGCTATTTGGAACTTTTGGCACAAGGGGTGCAAGGCAGAATCCAAAGCAGAAATCATTAGATGCTTTAATAAAAAGGCTCAAGGATGCTAGCTGAACCAGTTTCCTGGTAGAGTAAAATAAAAGAATTTTTCTTGATTTCTGTGAATTATAGATGGTTTGTTATTCATTGTTTAGAACTTGCATCCTGCTCTGGTTAGTGAAATTATCATATTATTGTCCTCTAGATGTAATTTTTTGCAGTGACTTAATCTGTCTTCTATCTGGATCTGTGGATGAACTAAATATAGAATGTTTTGCTTTTCTTAGCTGAAACTTTCGTCATATTTTTTATACCCAAACGGCCAAGCCAAAAATATGATTGACAGGATTATTGTGAAACTCTTCATGGTTCTAAGGTATTTCTTGGAGACCTTATACAAGAAAGAATAGGTTCTGTCATACAAGCTTTACATAGACAATCAGTTTTCATACATTCCTATGATCCATCCTATCACACACAATATGAAATCACATTATTCATAAATGTAACTGTCACAAGGTTAGGTTACTTTGAAGTTGAAAACGATATAAGCATAAAAAAATTCATAAAATCTTGTTTCTTTCAGTGATAGAGATTACTTAATTTTGTACTTTAGTTGAAGAATTTGGATTCTAGATCATATCTGCATATGTTATACTGACACCAGTTTTGCTAGCAAGTACTCGGCGAGGCGAGACCCAAGCACCTCAAACCTATCTGAGCAAGGTGTCTTTACTTGGGCGCCACCCAAGTGAGAACCTCAAGCTGTATGTTGGTTGACCCAGGCGCTTGTTCAGGCCAACCCAGGCATGGTGAGTTCGGACCATGCCAGACTGTGAAAATCAGGAACCGATCTGGCGGCCAGGCTGGTTGGGGTGTTAAAACTATTTCAGAACCAAACAGGTGGATACCTGCTTACAACGGTCGAGCTGGTCACTGGTGAAGTGGTTTTCAAGGGTTTGGGTTTTCATTTTTTTGGCAATTAGAATGCAAAACGGTATAATTTGTGGTAATTCATAATCTTGGCTGTATGAGCAATGCTTTTGAAATTTGGTTCTGTTTGTGCTAAGAGATGAAATTGATGACATTGAGAGTAGAAACTTTGTTGAATATTGACTTTATTGTGTTTGTTCGTGATGCATATGTTGAATATCACAAGCCTTTTTTATTAGTTTGTATTTCGTGATGTTTTTGTGTGTTCCGGACTTAATTGTACTAGTCTACAATGAATGTTATTTTTGATGTGTTTTTTTACAACAAAAAGTGTATATTCTTTTTGTTTTTATATCGTCGGCTTTTTTGGTTCAATGGCCACTGCATTTGACAACAATGTCTTTTATGATGGTTGTTTCTACAATTTCTATTAATCCTTTTGTAAGCTGTTCAAAGACAACGAGGTGCATCGAAGGTCAAAGCATATATATGCATCACTGTTACTATCTTGAGGTATAGTTGTTCTCTCTGTTTCTTTACCTACACTTGAAGCAATCATGAACTGACTAACAAATGTCATGTATCAATGTTTCATATGTATATGTTTCATATACACACAGCTTATACTACAACATGTCAAGGAGGTTGGAAGCATACTTTTGGTCCATACAATCAATGCCTAGTCTGGTCAGTTCTTTCTGGTCTCTTTGTGATGATCGTATCTTCCTTTCATTTTTATCACTGTTGCAGAATGTGCCCCACCTGGTATCTCCATGGAGAGCTAATTCATACTATTTGATGCATAATGTTCTCCACTTGTATTATGTTTCACAACTGGAGTCATTAAAAGCTTGAGGTAGAGTTATTTTGAAGCTTGTAGTACTTCTGTCATTTTTTTATGTATCTTCACTTTGAACTATCTTGAATAAATCTTGCCAGTATTATGTCTTTGTGTTGTCCTGCCAAATTTTGGCTAAAAAGTTCCAATTTAGCTGCATGTGTATTTGATATTTTTCTGCCTTCTGATAAATATAGCGTTATTAACTGATATAGGAACATTTATTTTAGACCCTGATCTTTGATGGCAAAGTCGAATGCATAGTAGTAGCTAAATTCGAAACCCTGTGATATGAGAACAGCAATGGAATAGAGTTATTGCCTCTTAAATGTCACACCTTTTTCTGATTTCGTTTGTGGCTATCTTGGAAGGGATTATAGATGGATTATACTTACGACTGTAATGCATTTATCTTATTTTTTCCAACTGTAATGTGCTTGGTTGGATTCAGAATCTGTGTGAACTTATGTTGAATCTTCTTTCATGAATGCCATAACATTAAAGTAGCAATAAATCAGTCTCTCTCTCTCTC